ATCAGTTTAGTGGGATCTGCATGCCAGCTGGGGTGCAGCATCTCATCCTATGGGGACTCGAGCTGTAGGTGGCACTTCCGAACACCCATTCCTTCAAAGGGTCACTGACAAGGCTGTTTCACACATCACACATGCACACAGAGCAGTGACATGCAGGCAGGAGGTGGGATTTAGAAACATGCCAAATGGTGGAACAGATTGAAATCAGAAGTGTGACAGAGTCCCACCTTAAATAGCAAATAGAAAATGTGTTTCCCTTCTCTTTTCACAACAGAGCTGTGCTGCAGGAGAAAGCACCCAACTCAGCCAAAGGGACCTGGCTCTGGTTTTGTGGCAGTTGTCTTTTTTGCAGCTGCTGTCCTTTTGCTCATGAATGCACAATGCTGGCATAACCCAGTCAGCTATTTATTTAAAGTGGAGATGCTGTTTGGTGAACACTTGGGCAGCCAGGAGGAGCAGGAGAAAAGGTCCTGATTCTCCTCCAGTGTCTCTTGGGGCTGAGGGAGGAACCACACGTTATTCCTGTAGTTTAAAGTCATGGAATCACAGAATGGTTTCCATTGGAAAAGACCTTAAGATCATCCAGTTCCAACTCACTGCCATGGGCAGGGACACCTCACACTGCACCATGTTGCCCAAGGCTCTCTGCTTGAACACTATAAAGAACATTCTTTCTAGTATTTTCAACAAAAGAAAAGAGTCTCTTAAGTGCATATGCACTGCTGAACACTTTGATTTATGTTCTAGGAAAAACTTCACACAAATGAAGAGGGTTTGGCAGTTTTTGAGCTTGCAAAAGACTAGCAGCGGGCAGAGGCTGGGTAACACAGGTAAGGCTGCTTTTGCTTCCCTGAAGCCCATACTTTGCAAACAGCTGGTCCAGAAAAAGGTGTAGCAGCTGTATTAAAGAAATTACAAAGACTTTCTCTGTTCAGACCAAGCAAGCCTGGACTTTCCCTGGAAGCCCTTCCCATATGGAGGGATCGACACTGCCTGATCTGGACATGGACCCTAAGCACCAGCTCTGGACTCCAGGTAGGTAATAACGTTCTACTGTTAACATACAATAATCAGAACTACTTCTGATGTTCACTCCTGGTACTTTCTGCAGCTCAGCACCTCTTGGTCTGTTTACCTGTATCCGTTTGTGCAACAGGCAAGGTAGAAATCTACTGATGTATTTACCTCTTCAGTGTCATCAGCTGCTTGCTTTGACAAAGAGGCTATGTGGAAAGGATCCAGACACTGTGCAGAGTGAGGAAAACCACCCTGGATTCATTATGTCCCAGTCATGATGGGACAAAAGATTCCAAAGGATTCAGAATAAATCTAATTTTCATGACACAGCCAAGAATTCACAGTCAAGTGAATACCTTCTGGTCAAAAGCCACCAATTTGACAACAGTACAGTTATAATCCAGACACGTCTACTACCAGCAGGAAGACATGCCACTAGGATGGTGCAATAAAGTAAGCAACAAAACAGGTTTTCTAATTGGGAAAAACACTTTGAATAGGCTGCTTTAAAACCTGTTTGTAACCAGTTTGGCTGTCTCCTGAAATTCCTACCCCACCTACTTATCTCTTCCTTCACTTTTTTGCAATTTCAAACATTCTGAAGTTGTATCCAAAAGGAAGAACTTCCCAAGTATAACACTGCAGAGAAGAGCCACAAAAAATGTAGCACACCATCCTTCGGACTGCCACTGACGTCCAGGTGAGGTTGGCAGATAAACAGCTCCCAGTCTAGATCACACAAAGCTAGCAATCACATGCCTGTGCTTTCACATCCTGAGTCCATGTTTATGTTTGTTTTTCAAGTGATTCTGTCTCATCAGTTTAAGGAAAAGATTAGTTTCTTTTCCCCATCCTCCCCTCTTACTCCACTTTCCTCTGTTCTGGAGAGGCATGCTTGCCTCCCAGGGCCTGATCACATACTGACCAACAACTTCCAGAAATAGCTGTTTATTTCTGCCCACAGCATTTTTAGAGACCTCTCAGAAAGGCACCCAGAAGACAATAGAATCAAAACATCTGGGACAATATAAAAAGTGAGTAGAACAAAGAGCCTGCAAGGTCCCAGCTCGCCTAGCGGGACACAGGGACGGAGGAACAGATCTCCCTGCTCATCCAGTTCTACAGGCCACATCAGCTTGCCAGGCTCTCCATCCATGACAAAGCCACGAGGCTTCCTAACGTCACTCCTCCATTGCCACCTTGGCTCTCTAACTGAAGGAGCCAAAACTTTCAAAAGAAAACACTGCTTCACAGGACAGCTGACAGTGATGGGGAAGAGGTTCAAGCAGATGTAAGTACGTCAGTCCTGTCCAAGTACGGTAGGACAAACTGTCACCAACTCCCTGGGGATGGTAGCTGCAGCAGCAAACAGCAATACCAACGCTCACAGGATACCTGCGTTGAAGCTGTCACCCTCTACTAGTGTACATAAAAAAGGGCATTTTTAAAACTGACTTCCCAAGACATGCAGAAAGGAGTTCCCATTTCTTCAGGTGATAACACTGCTGACTGAATTACTCAGTGCACATTTGAACTCCTTAACAAGTGACCATGCCCTTCGTGGTGCTATTCAGACTGGTGCGTGGGTACAATCACCTGCCTAGCAAGCCAAGCTGTAGCCCTGGTTACATCAGAGCACCTCTCACTGACCTCTACGAACCCTCAAGTTAGGCTCTGGGTTAGAATAAAACTCTCACTGCAATTCTTATCAACACCATTTACGTAAAAGACATTGGAATTAGCAAAGACAGTTCCAGCCTCAGTCTAATGCTAATTGTGTGCTTCAGTCACACTGGGATAACAATCAAGGAGAACAGATAATAGGTCTTGCATCCACATGGTAGCAAGTAAATACAGCAGTAAGCAAGGCCAGAACTATCTCATGATTAAACACACTGATAGGAGATATTGAAAGGCACACATGGCTTCCAACACTCAGAAATAAAGCTTGCAGAAGACACTGTGATTACAAAATTGAATTTAGGCAAGTCTAGCCTAACCTGAAAGTCAGAGGACCTGACGGCTAAAATGACCTAGATCATTATATAAAATCCACATAATGAAGTCCAGATTTAAAGTCATTGTTTTGTCATTAACGCCATGCTTAAAGTCTCCCACTGCATTGTGCCTGAAGGAGAACCCTAGTCACAAACAGAATTTTCAAGGGCTAAGAAATACTAGCCCATAACCATGCACACAGTGAGAGCTGGGTACTTAAATTCTTCAGCTATCTGTAATAATCCCATCTTGTGACAGTAATATCTGTGAATGAGGATGGCAGCACGCCATTGCACCTATTTCATAACTAAGTCCCAACACAGAATGGAATGCTTGGCCATTAAGTTACACTGTGGTTTATTATTATTCCCCGTTAACTTCCAAAGCCATGCATCACTCAATTCAGCTTAACACAAGAGCTCCAGAATACCCTTGGCAAAGCAAACACCCTTAACACCTTTGCACTGAAGAAAAAAAACTAAATCAAGTCCTGTTAGCTGTGATACTGTTATTGTACCACCTCCCACTTGAACAGTGGCCACAAAATATCTTCTTTCTTCTCCTTCATGTCAGGAAGAAAATACAGTTATGCTAAGAAGAGAGTTTAAGTCACTAAATTGGGCTGAATTCATGCAGTGTGCTTCCACTGCGAGTTTGCAAGCAACAAAGCTGTCTATTCCTGTAGAACTTGTCCCCATCACTGAACAAGCAGAAAGAGCACTTCAGGCCTTCTGCCCTGGCTTTTCTGCCTGGCTTTTTCTGTGCAACTCCTGGTATTAAAAACAAAAAAGGTAAGAAAAATGCAAGAACTGCCTCAGAACCGAAGTGTTATCAGTGTATCTCTCTGCACAAATAAATGTGGCAAAGGCATCTAGAAGGGCTTTCTGTGGCCTCCATGCTTCTGCCCTAATTGGATTTTGCATAGAAAAAGCAAAGCTTGACAGGCAGTGCCTTCAAGCTGCTTGCTCTGATCATGCAGGTGCACAGTGTTCAGCAGAACATAAGTCACACTGAAGGAAAGAACCAGGCCTTGTTGGATAGAAGACCCCACAGCCACGTCGTGCTTCAGCTCCTGTTCTGTCGCTCCTTTCTCATGCTTGCTCTTCTTTCCCCATGCCAAATAAATCTGTCCAAGGATGGAGGGCAAGTGTGGAGCCTATTTAAAACACTCCAACAATTACACATTAAACACACACCAAGGGTATGAGGTAACTTCAGAAGAGTCTTTTCTAGTATTCCTGAAGTGATGGTGATTTTCTAGTTCAAAATAGCTCTGAGGAAGTTAAGCAGCTATTGAAGTCTGTACAGCTAAAAATGCAAAAACTAGCCAGCACCCCTATGCACTGATGTGATGACAGCCCCAGTACAGGGTACATATTACTACTTGCATCCACTGCCCTAGACTTGTGTTAGACCATTTTACCTGTGTAATAAAATATATTTTATTAAAACAGGGTAAGAGAAGTCACTGAATGAGTACTAAGTAGACATACCTATTTTTATTAAAAAAAAAAAGAACAATTGATGCATGTACTGTATTTAGTCTTTTAAAATTTTTATTCACTCCTCAAGAGTCAATAAGTTATATAAATCTTAGTAGTTTTCATTTTCTTACTGAAGTAGTCAACAAGATCTTTACTTATAGTTATGCTGAGTCGGCAGCACATCAGATCTTTAGAAAGAGTGTGCTGGGGTTTGGTTTTCCAGAGGTTCTTCTTAAAAACACTACCTCTCTGCATGAGTTTCCATGAAGCCTCCTTTTCATTGCTAGCATAGCACTGCAGTTCCCCAGGAGGTTCCAATACAGCCACTCAGCCCTGTGAAGGCCCATTCCCACCTGGAGAACCAGCCCCGAGACCATCAGAGTGGCAACCACACACCACAGCCACCCAAACCCTTCCACCTTGCCACTGCTCTTGGAAGGAAGTCACAGACTGCACTGGAGCTCCCTGAAGGTAGGAGCAATGATTCCATTTCACAGATAGTAAACCAAATACTTTTGTATTTAATTAACAGTTCCAGAAGGTTAAAACTGTAGATGAACACACAGAACTTATGTCAATGACAATGAACTGAGGCAGTAACATTGTCATCCCCATGCTTTAAACAGCATCTAAAGCAACTTCTAAGCAAGTATAATTTGGGATACTCTTGTAGAACTTAAGCAGTGATTTCTGTTTGCTTTACCTAGTAGGAAGGGTTTTCAAACACTTTAGTAACTTATAACTAGTCCCACAGTTGTCATTTTCTCATCTGCTGCTCATAAGCAGATGTTCTGTGTTGTATACCAATTAATAGATTCCCTCCCCATTAACGAAGCAACCTAGTTTTCGTCATAACACACAAAAGCAGTCTAGTCTTGTTCCTCTTCCTCCACATCCTCATCTTCATCCCCTTGATCTCCAGACTCAATATCGTCTTCATCTTCAACCTGAAATTAAGGAAGACCTGTTGTAAGCAGGAACATCCCTTACTCCATTCCAGCCTTCTGAAGGCAAGGCAAATGCTAAGGGAGCAAAACCAAGCTTCAAGCTAATGTAAATCTCATGGAGTATCAATCAGTGCTTAATAAAAGCAACTGTCATCTTGTCAAATCAACTGCCCATAAGGCTCCCCAAAACTGCCCTGACAGTTCACAGTGCTGCTTAAAAAGCAGACTAAAGTTATCTAGTTATCACTTGTATTATCTGTGGAACGATCCTTAGGATTATATCACAGCCATAATCTGCTTTCAAGTTAGCAGCCAGGATGAGCTGCAGCAAGGCATCATTCCAGACATATATGTGAAAAGTAGTCTTCCTAACAGGAGTTTGGCAGGTACCTCTCATGACCCCTAACCTGAGAACCCAGTGGGCCTGTTGTTTTGCTTACTGGTACACCAAGATCTTTCAATTTGATCTTCAGTGCAGATAGTTTCTGGTCCTGGTCAGCCAAAAGCACGAGAAGATCATCTTGTTCTTTCTTTGATTCTGCAACTTCTTGCTGCAGTTTAATTTTCTCATCTTGCAAAATAGCAACTGTACTGCTGGATGAATCCAGGTGCTGTTTTAGTGATTCTTTTTCCTCACAAAGGGCTTTGACTTCACTCTGGAACAGGAAAAATCCCCCACCAAGTTACACCACAAGCACAGGAAGAGCTGAAGCCTTGTTTCCTGCAAGCATATTCCATATGCTATTTATAACAGCTCCAACTCCAGCAAGTGCCTGTGGCCTTGCTCCCACACACTTCCTTACCCAAACTTCCCTTATTACCAACTAGGAGAAAGGGTAGGTGGAAGTCTTAGCAGTGGTCACCTTCCCCCAGCTACACTGGGCTGTCCTTGTCAGAATAAAGCTATCTCCTAGACTGTCACTGCCAGCTTTTTCAAGGCAGACAAAGCCTGCATTTCCCAAGTGAAAAAGAAAGGAGATGCATCCAGCTCCCCCTGTATGGCCTGAAACACATAAGATGTTCACGAAACAAAACACTTCCACTCAAAGCCCCTCCTATCATAGAAGTCCTCCAAGTGAAGACTGAGTATCAAGTGACTTGGTTTAGTATTCGCCTGCTACCAACCTTCAATTCTTTGATTTGTTGCTCAAGTTGTCCCTCCAATTCAGAACTCTTTGCTACTATTGCACCACTGTCTCCTAACACAGGGTCTGCAGTTGTGTTCTGTGGAGAAAAAATTCAACAGAAGAGCACTGAATGCCTCAAAGAGAAAGACAGCAAGCCAAGAAGTTAATACAGTCAGCTAGAGAATTTACAAGCATATTTTCTTTACAGTGTAGCCAAGGTGTGGTAGTTACAAATATCCCGTGCTGCAAGGCATCAGGAAAGAGGTCTGTGCTTCCTGGGGTCCCAGTAAACACATACACACATGCACACAAAGAAGAAAACAAGGAGCAAGCCTTATTTCATGTAAGTTGCTCTCTAAAGAGACAGTTAGGGTTTTTTTTCTGGGCAGACCCTAATCATTACAGGCCTTCACTCGGATGCTTTCCAAGTGCCAAAGATTTTATTAGGCTAAATAGCCACAGCTTTGTATGTGACTACTAAAAATAGCAATAGTTCAGTCTCAGCCAGCTCTACCCAAATTCCAAAAAGTGGCAGCTGTCTTTGAGCTACAACTACCCTGTGGCAGGAATTCCAGACAGCTGCTTCTCCAGTGATGCCCCGTTTAAGCCAAAGCTCTAGGCAAGGTCTGGAGGGTGACAGTGAGCTGCTCAGGCAGCAGGGAGCACCCAAGATACCCCTGTCTCACAGGCACACATGGCCAACACGTGCAACAGCATTTTAGATCACAGCTGCTGAGACTTGTGACAATGCAAGTGTTAAAAGCCTTCCTCTCAGCTGATCTATTAAATTAAACACTCAATATTTCCCCCCCCAAAGTGCTCAAATTTTGTATTAGGTGCACAGAACAAACCAGACAGAGTAATAGAATCACAGACTGGTTTGGGTTGGAAAGGACCTTAAGATCATCTATTTCCAAACCCTTGCCGCCATGGGCAGGGACACCTCACACCAGACCATGTCGCCCAAGGCTTTGTACAACCTGGTCTTGAACACCATCAGGGATAGAGAAGCAGCATGAGTTGAAGCGAGTTCCTCTCCCACAGTGCAGATACCCTGTTCTCATTACAGCAGAGCTGTCAAGCAGGGCACACCACAGCTACCCTTGTTCTAGATCAGATTATTTAGCTATTCTGTAAGGCTTTATGGTCTCATCTTTTCAATGCACAGCTAAAAATAAAAAAAAAAAAACCCAAACAAACTCTTGAGGCATTTGGAGGCTGCACAGATGCACTTACCAACTGCTATTCAACCATACCATCAAATTCCAAATTAGTAATTCCAAATTCCTCAATTGGTTGCAAGAGTAACGACCCCTCTAACATCCATGGTATCACACAGTTGTGCCTCAAGAGACTATTTTCCTTTGATTAGGGTGGCAGCTTAAATAAAGTGCTGAATAGTTGGCATTCCTTTGTTAAAAAAATACCAAGGACCAGGGGCCTCATGGAGCACTAACTGGACTGCAAGTCCCCTCTTCCCTCATGAAGGACCTGTCTAGGGAATGTTACTTCATTTACAACACTCTGGGAATCACTTGCTGATGTGTATTCTTAAAACAAGGTTGGCTTAGGACAAGGGCTACATACAGCATGCAGGAAAACAAAGTCTCCAAATTTAGTCCCCAAAAGAGAAAATAAGTAACTGGGTCACTGGTACCATTACTTGTAGCTTTTGATTCTCTATCAGAAGCTGAGAGATTTCTGCAGACTGTAGTTGTAGCTGACTCCTGAGCATTTCTAACTCCTTTGGGAAACAAAGACAAAGCCATACTTTTAAGTCAATTCAATAATACAAGGTAATTATTCACAATACATTCTTCTTCAGTTAATGTTACCAAAGTGCTTCATACTAGCATATGCGAGAGAAAAGCTGCAACCATTTCTCTGGAAGACAAAACCAGTCCCATCATTTTCCACCCCACTCTTAGGAACTCTTTTCTATGGCATGCCCAACCGAGACACCTGTGTGAGCCTCAGTCTCCCTTATTAAGGTGTTTCACACCACTAGCACTCCCATTAACCTCCTCCAGTCATTACTGTTCTTGGTGCAGAAACCCATTATGACTGATTAATCCAGTCACACTAACTAGTTCTCAGAGAAACTCTGCTAGGTATTTATGAGCAACAGCTCCCATAAATTACTCAATGTGCACTTGTACACTTAACTCCATGTTGCACATTTAATACCTGGAATCTTTCATATCAGTATTTAAAGATACATTTTTGCAATGAATAAACTGATTTTGCAACTCTGAAGCAACAGTTTGTCTTCTGCTGCCTCAAACCTGCTTAGCAGAAAAAAAAGGTTTCACTTTAGATACATAATCTTGATGCTTCAAGATGCGTAACGTCATCACATGAAGATACACCATCAAAAACTTCAACATGCTCAGGGATCAGTGCTCCTCCCTGCAGTGTGACAAAGCTCCCTGCCCGTCCCGAGCTACCACTGCTGACCACAGCTTTGCTGAAATACCCCAACTTCACCTTTTGTAGTTCATTATTGTGCTCCAAACCACCAGATCTGCTGTTCTGTGAAGACAACTCTGTTGTTCCTATTTCCAACTGTGAAGACTTCTGTAATAGCAAAAGGGACATCAGCCATAGAAGTAGATAGCATAGTCAATTTGCTAGAACCCAGAGCAAATTCTGTGCTTGCATGATCCAAGTTTCCAACATAAAAGGTTAAGAAATGCACAAAGCTCTCTGATTACACGAAAGCAGTTAAGTAGTTATCCACCTCTCTAAGGTGGATACAAAATCATCTTTCATCAACCCAAACGCAGAAGACAAGTACAAAATAAAAGCAGCATGCATCATCTGCATTTTGGCAAGCAGGCCACCATAAATACAACTTAGAAGCTTAGTGGGGGTAATGCCTAAGAGGCATCTATGATTTTTTCCCCCACACAAAACACCCTAAAACTCCTGATTCTACAGTATAACAGGTCACCCACACAAATTACGGAAACAATGGGAAGCAGGAAAGGCTTTGCTTAAGCCATCTCCCATCCCATTTACTATTACCAGCACGCAATCAGTTATGATACTTTGCCATCAAAATGAGGACTTAGATTAAGGCAGACGACATTTGAAAACATCATTTGGAAGCTGCAGCAAGTTCTACAGAGACAGCACTTACCAATTTTTCAATCAGAAAATCCTTTTCCCTTATCTGCCCTTGCAGCAGCTCATGCTTGTTTTTCCATTCTTCCAACTCCTCTTTTAGTTTGCTCACTTCTTCCGTCTGAATGCCATTCATCTGAAACGTATCCCCATGGGAATTGTGATGTTGAGTGTCCTTTCCTGAAAGATAGTATTTATTAAACCAAGGTCATAAACACCAATATCATTTTGAAGTTAGCTTAAAACACACCAGTTCAAGAATTTATTGCCCATCAAACAAGGCAACACAAGCAATTCCAACTCAAGAACCAGAGCACAGTACTTAGGAATTCTCTAGCAAAAAACAATGAAGAGCTCTAATTTGTCATTCCTTCAAGTATGTATCCTGTGGCTGCACTAGCATGCTGCTTCAGTTGTTCAGTTCATACAAAGTAACATCATAGACAAATCATCCAACAGAGGAAGGGTGACTGTGTCCTGATATATTTTTAATAGTAAATAATTGTGGAGACGGAATTAGTTTTGGAAATCATAACATCCAGTTTATCAGGCATCTTGACCTTGGAATAACTTAAATATACTGTCCTGATTCAGACACTTAGTTAGCAATCTCTTCAGTGATGGTGATAAGCCTCATCTTGCACATCTGCCATACAGTTCTTCCTCAATTCATTATTTTCATCCACAGACCTGAGTTCCAAGACTTAAGCACAAAGCAAGAACAGACTTTATCTCACGCACATTTTCAAGCTGTCCTGTCTGATTTCAGTGCTTTAATTCTTTAAAGGCACTTAAAGCAAAACCTAGTATTTTTAGATAACAAAGCAAATCTAATGCTTAAACAAAACTGCTTGAAATGGCCAACATCAGCCTGAAAACAGTGTATTTAATCTCCGTGGGAAGTTTTTCATATGGTGCAGAACATACAACAGCACATCTGAAGTGATAGATGGTATTTTATTTATTACTCTCTGAGCCTACCTAGCTGCACTTTAAGGAGATTATATTGGTCCTTATGCTGTTGGATCTGTGACACTTGCTGGGTAACTGTTGCTTGGAGCTGTTCATTTTGAGACATTAAAGTGGTAATCCGTTGTTTTAGTTCTTCAAGCTCCTGGTCCTGTGAAAGACAAAAAACAAATCACTGAAGAATAGTAACACTTCTGAAGACAGTCAAGTAAAGACAGAAAAACCTCAACTACAGCATGACACTTACTGCTAGTGATGCTGTCCATGCTACCTGTATCCGGTGAGCAGGAAAGCCTCATGCAAATCTAGACAGCTATTCCAAGGAAAAAAAGCCTGGCAAAGACAGAAGCCTACCACACCAGACCAATGCATTCCAGGTCTTTTGGAGGAAACCTCCAGCAGACCCACACAAGAGACAGCATAAGAAGGAAATCTATGAAGTCTGGTGACTGTAGTTTTCTCCACCACACCAAAGCCTGCATGCATTTGGGGCACTTCAAGAGTCTTCCAGGAAGTTGTGGGAACTGCTGTCATGGCAAGTTCAGGAAAACCTCACCAGCAGCTCAAAGTGCCCCTTAAATCCACATGTACCACTCTGCCCTCTGTCCATTCCAGATCCCTGAACTCAACACACCTGCTTCAGTCCCCATTAACTATTACGTTAATTAGTTTTGCTCTTCTACTTCTCCCTCTAAGCTGTTGCAACTAAATAAGCAAACTCCCATTGGAAAAAACAATTGGGAGTGCAACGATAGCAGGTATACACAAAACTTCACTAACTCCCACTCTTTATTCAGCCACACTTCATCTGTCCTCTTCTAAAAAGTGAGAACCCAGAACTAAGAGTTGTACTCTCTGTGAGGGCCTGCAAGTTCTCAAATTACTCATTTGAGAAGACTTAAACACATATATCCCAGGAAAATGCTTTATCTTACCCAGTATTCTAAACATTGGTATTTCATTTGAACCAGAACTTGGTTGTAGAAAGTGTTTCTGCAGTGCTAGTTTCCTGGTTACTTCATTTGGAACACTGGGTATCAAACTGCACTGGTGCCTCTGAAAGCCAAACCAACCAATCTCTGGAGGGACATGTACAGCATAACTCCCTCTCACCTGCTCTCTGATGACTTTTTTGTATTGAGTCACAATGTTGTCATGCTGTTCCAATGTCTTCTTGACCTCCTCCTCCTTTTTATCTTCCTCACTGGACTTGTAAATAGCTTTACTTATGACACCTGTTAAAAACAATTCACATCTTTTTTGTCCTCACATATGTCTCACAATCCAACCCAGTTTAGCTGAGTTCAGGGCGTTAGAAACTAAACCTGCACTTTAAAAATGAAGAGGTTTAGGGAAACAGCCATCTTTTATAGCGAGGTTTGCAGGCTCACTGCTTTACACAGATTCAGAAAAACAAATGGGTGTTTGGAGTCCTCCTTATCACAGAAGGCGGGGTTTAAATATTAAGGCTCCACCACAGCTGCTGCACAAGTGCTTGTGCAGTTAAGTGAAAGACCTGGGGCTGCCAGGGCAACATGCAGATGAAATGCAATTGGGCAAAACCATCTTCACTGTTTCTGCTTCTCTTTTCCTTCTGTAGACTGATTTGAGTTGGGCTGTATTAATAACCAGGACACTAGTTACACTTTAAGAATGATGACAACCAGTCTCTTTAGTGAAGGACAGAAAACACTAAACAAAGTACTTACCATTTTTGAACAGGCCAGGAAATACATCATTCATCATTTTTCTTCATGAATCAGACAGAAAGAGCCAGTATCTAGATTGCTTACTTCTACAAAAGGAGCATCTATAACCATCACGTGCTCAATGCTTGATCTCTGTATGAGCACAGGTAAATACATGTCCTGGCCACAGTATGAGAACTCAAAGGATGTAATAATAATCCTTTCACCTAAAAATTAAAAGTTAACCAATTTGTACAAGCCCTGATTATGGGCTTGTACCAGGAGTTAATACTTAAACTATGAAATTACTTACAGTATTACAGTAACATTTTTTTCAGAACACTCCATTTTAGTATTATCACAGTACTTTTAAGACTGTTACATTCAGCACATTTGGTAGTTCAGGCATCAGCTTGTCACAAAAGCAACAGAAGCAAGCACATCATCTCACCTTCCAATTCCTTCACAAGCTTGGTAAATTCATGATCAAACATCATGTGCTCTGGGCTGGAAAAACCAGGCTGGGGTTTCTGAGCAGCTCTGGAATAAAGTTCATGTTTGCTAATGAAGCCAAGCTTCTCAATGAAGTTCTCCCTACCAATCCTCTTCTCAATCAGTTGCTTCAGCTTCTCTCTGAAAGGAAAAGAGAAACCAATCACAGTGCAACAACTGAAAAGTGAACCCATCCTTCCCTCGATGGTTTTTACAGTTACAGCTTTTGAGTATCTGTCTCAAGTCTGCGCCACAGTAGATGCTGCATTCATAATGCCATTTCTCAGTGACCACTGGCATCTGTTCCCACAGCAGGCATACACAGGTTCAGAGGACCTATACAAAACAGCTACCTGCTTTGCTTAGCTAGAGGTGGGTCAGTTGTGCTTCCCATAAGGAGCATACATAGAAAACATGCAACAAAATCTATGCTGCACCACTCAGTTAATCCACCACCTGCCATTCACTGAATCTTTCCCTACAGTCCTCTTTTTTTACAGCATACTTACTTCCTATAGTTTTCAAGGGAATTGTCATTGTAGTAGATGGAAATGCCAAGCAAAAGTGCACACAGGCCTTGGACGAGTTGCTCCTCTTCTCCCAGGTTTTCAGCTATCTGCCCCGTGAGCTGGACTCTTGTTAAGGATATCGGAGATACTTCATAAACACCATACATGTAACTTAATATTCTGTGTATAGATTCCCAGTTAAAATTCTTTGCAGAGATAAACCCAAACTTGATTAGAAAGCAGGGAAAAGAGCTGAAGAAAGCCTTGCAAAGCTAGCTCCTGTCATGGAGGACACTTGGGCAGTCAGTGGTTTTCCTGACATTTCTTCTCTAACTGTCTGCTCAAAGAGATCAAGTTGTTCCAAAACAGGCTTGCTGTTTAGATAAGGTGACAACTTCAGCCTGATGTACTTTAGCCAGATTTCTTCCTGAAAAGCAAGCAGAGAAATACGCTTCACCAGAATAGGGAGCATTCTTCCTACCTCCTGGCATAAGTCACCCTGAAAATAGTAGTGGGCTTGTTGCAATCTAAAAGCTACATTTGCCTGGCAAAACACAAAGCAAGCAGGTCAAGGATACAAAAGGTATATTGGCTGGATTGTGAAGGAAGTGGGTGACAGCGATGGAGCAGTTGCTGAGCCAAGTGCAAAGTAACATCAGAAGTCCAACCCTGGTCTGGACTTTGCTGCCCTGAAAGAATAAAAACCCCCATCATTAACTTTGCACAGTGGAGGACTGAAATACCAAAAAAAGCCTGTACTACTTCAGAACTCACCCATTCACCATTGTAAAAAACATGTCCTTCAAAATACCCATTTGTTAGTTATACTGAACACAGCTTTAGTGCTTTGGTGAAACAAATATTAAACCATTTATATCTGTTTTCAGAGCAAACCAGCAAGCAACACAGATGTGAAATATGGCTCAGTGCAAATTAGCACCAGTATAAAAGTCGTAACAAATTAGTTCTGCATTTATAATTCACACTAAGGTAACACGGAGAAATGCAGAGACACCACCCTGTAAAGGAGCAAGGTGTAAATTAAGTCAGGTAAGGATTTCCGATAAGAAGGCATGCATCACTAAGATTTCCCCTGCTGACTACAAATTGCTACATGTTCCTAATGTTATTTTGTAAGTCAAAAAAGGTACTACTGTAGTGGCTTTTGGTTCAGACAGTATGCACATTAAGCCAGCAACAGGAATGCTAACTGTAGTATTTGGAATTGTTAGTTTTCATCTGACAATTGCCTGTCTTCTCGCTTTTGTCCCCCTTGTCTTTGCTGCAAGTACTGTGGACACAGCAGCGCTGAGGCAGGCAAACCTCTCCTCCAACAGTCTGCATTCAGAAGGCAACCAAGAAACATGTTCCCTGCATGGAAAATAAAACTTCACACACACACCTAATAAATTGGGCAAAGTAACTGGAAGCTGAAGTCAAGGCTCAAAGGGATGATGAGGCACACAGCTGCTGGGATGGCTTCAGTGGGGGCAAGTAGAGCAGGCACAGGGATCAAGGCAAAGAGATGGTCATCAAAAACAAAGAGCCTGTGCTTGAAACATTGAATTTCCATCCCTGCCTTTGATATACTCTATGCTTTAGGGCTGAAGGCAGTGTTGGTTTTAACTTCAGCTAAGCATTTAAAACAAAATAAAAGCCCCCAAGGTCTTTGAATAAGCCAGTCTGCCCACTGAAACAGCTGGTAAGCAGCAATCTGGCAAGAAGCTCTTCTGCAGCTCCCAGCTGCTGACTACAAGACAGACTGGAATCAAATCCAGCAGCTCTGACAGAAGATAGCAAGCTACAGAGCTCTGAAGAGACTGCCTTCAAGGACTTCCTTCTGAGGTACTGTGATTAGGTGTAGTACATCTCCATCATTAAGATTAAATGATCTCCTTAAAGTAGGAGAACAGATATTACAGGTATCAAGACTGTGGCAGTCATCCCTAATGCTGCACACACAGGAAAGTCAGCATCTGGACATTTTTCATGATTATCACCATCATTACTTCCTGAGACCCAAGTGAACAACATCAGAGCAGCAGAGATCACAGCCATCACCACCAACTGCACAGCATCTGACTGTTGTGTTTCATGGTGAGTACTTCATGCCCTACCAGCAATTCTTGTTTAGTCTTTGTTACAGGTTTATCTGCAGCTTTGCTGTGATCCTGTCATGCTGTTGTAGTAACACAAAGATTATCTTGCTGCTGCTGCCCTTCTACCTGAAGGTCATGACTGGTTTCCACTGATCTAGACCTCACTCTGACCTGTGTAGTCCTCACCAAACTATATGCTCCTCTGGAAAACACCACTACACAGTGATATATTATGATATACTGTGATAGCACCTACTGTGACAGATTACAGCTCTCCATGGTTGTTGTTCTGCAGTTCAGGGCTGGTAATGATAAAACCCCACCCTGCAGGACAACTGATAACCAACTCAGCAGTGAGTTAAATAACACAGCCTGAAAGTCAAACAACTTGTGTCAGGCATCATTTGCTAGTAATGAGATGCTTGTTATTCACAACTAGTAGCTCAAAGGTCATAACATCTGCTGGCAAGTACAACCTACAAAATGCCCAGGAGGCAGGTTAAAAATGGTTTTTCTTTTAGCAGTCAGGAAATCAGCACCACATTCCTGCTGCAAGTTGTACCAGCTGTTTCCTACAGGCCAGCCCGAGAAAACACCATTTCTAACAGTTTTAATTTTCCTTGCAAGAAAGGTAGGTGATGAGATAGTGAATGAGTCTGCCCCACTGGAAAGAAAGCACCAGTGCTACCGAAGATCCTTATCCCATAGTTTTGTGGACAGAATCCCCCAGAGACACAGAAAGAGTCCGTTACGCTAGGGAAAAACCCAAACCGAACTGCAACACAAAGCTGTAAGTGGAAACACATCAAAAAGCAGTTAAAGAAAACCTCCCCAGCAAAACCAAAGGCAAGAGGAAAAGGCCTGCTTTTGGCAAGAAAATGCCCAAGCTGGGCCAAAATATACATACCCGTCTGTCGATCTTATCACCCTGCAAGTTACACACATATTACTTGAGAAGCTTCAAGTACAACACAGTTCAGAAACATCCCCCCACAAAGTTTCAGTCCCTTCCATCATGTAAAGCTAAAGAGCCACTGGCAGTTTTGCTGACTCAAATTTACCTCATACAAAAAAAGCCAGGAACAGGCTAAAAAGGAGCACTGTCAGTTTTCAGGTCAAGCAGACGAAAAAGTCACACAAACCAATTCAGAATTCCAGCATTCTGCTGGAATTATTATCAATTGCAGGGAAGTCTAATAGCTGCCAGAGTTATCCAGCTCCTCATTACTGCAATCATTCAGGGGAAAGTATCCAGAATAGAAGCAGAAGTCCCAGGGAAGCACGGGCTCACAGGTGAGCTTCACTTGCTCAACACTGGCAAAGCTAACAAGAAAGCTTTCAAGTTTTTAACAACAAAACCAACCCCAACAAACCTGTGAGAGCCTCGTATTTTCAAGACATTCCCAGTTAACAGTTACAGGTTAAATACTAAGCAGGAACCCTTTCAGCAACACAATGCTACTGGGGATCCTGCCAGTTTGCCTATTCTTTTAAACCAAGTTTAAGGTCTAAATACTTCAGAACCCTTAAGAGTAGGCAACACCAAGGATCAATCGTTGATGAAAAAGCAAGATGTGCTGCTTTTCTCTTCCCCCTAGAGCATAGGAGGGTTTAAGCAAAGCTTAAAATGATCTGCAAAAGACAGAAACCTCCTTCTCCTTAAGCTAGATGACTAGATGGCTGTCTAGATGATGAGTTTAAGACTAGGTGACCTTCAAAAGTCCCTTCCAACCCATAATATTTTATGATTCTGTGCCTTCCTGTGATGCTCCTGCATAAGTGCAGCATTCCTCCTGGATACCTGGAGCCTTAACCCAGTGATGTACCTGTGAGAGGATGTTGGTGCATTGCTGCAGCAGCGAAACGGGTGGATTGCCGATGCTGGTGGCGAGCTGAACTCTAAGGAGCTGTTCTTTCAGAGTGGCATTCTCCTGCAACGCATGGGCCAGGGCTACAGCAGCACACCAGTTAGAGAGGGAGTCCGTGGAAAAGAGGCCCCCACAAAGCAGCTGACCAGCTGAGACTGAGTTACCTGTAGCTACCAGAATGATCAAGAAGTGAGATTAAAACAAGCCACAAAAACAGGCAAAATATTTAAGACATCAGCATACAGTTAAAATGCAGAAAAATTGAACTAGTCAAGTTTGAGAGAAAACATAAGCCAAGAATGAATGCCAAAGATGGACTCTTCATCAGGGACTGAAGCAACAGGACAAGGAGTAAAGGATTTAAACTTGAACAGGGGAAGTTCAGATTAGATCTAAAGAAGAAGTTCTTTACTGTGAGGGTGGTGAGGCACTGGCACAGGTTGCCCAGAGAAGTGGTGAATGCTCCCATCCCTGGCAGTGTTCAAGGCCAGGTTGGACAGGGCCTTGGGTGACATTGCCTAGTGTGAAGCATCCCTGGCCAAGGCAAGGAGTTGGAACTGGATGATCTTAAGGTCCTTTCCAACCAAAACCATTCTGTGATTCTGTGATCTTGCCCAGATCAGACACTCAATGGCAAGTAAATGATTTTGCCAAAGACATCAGCTGATGCATTAAATATTGGTGACAGTTAACTCGTTGCAGAGATGGTAACTCTGCATACCATCAATAGTAGACGGCAGAAGTGTTGACACAATTTCTCCTTGGCCTTTTTGGTTTTTGTAGAGAAAGCACTGGAAACAATAGAGAACAGCACAACGTAGCACAAAAGGCTGACGTTCATTCACCATGGACATCAGAAGTACTACAATCGCAGGCCTGTTGGGAAAGATAAAAAACATTAGGGTACAGCTGCAAATGAAGACAACCACAGGGAGACAATCCCTACTGTATTCTACAGGTAAGGAAAGAGACTTTTGCCCATTCCATGTATTACAACTGGAGTAAACCCCTTGATTTTAATACGCAGGTTTTTCAAGTCATTAAAACACACAACAGTATTCTTTACACACGACTGCCAAGAGCTGTCATTCCTCCACAGTGTCTCCACTGCCCATCAAGTCCCCTGCTGCTCCCTGCAAGCTTCAATAATACCACAGAAGATGCCTCATGAGGCCACTAGCAGCTTGTAATACAGAATACTACCCCTCTACCTTCACCCTCCTTATTCAATGTTGAGATTAAGATCTCCTTAAGCTAACATTTGCTGTTCCCCAGTCTGAGTAAATAGCAATTACCTGCCTGTTTTCCTGGCCTTTTGTAGGCTGCCCTCTGACTGACAGTTGAACCCTATCTAGGAATTTCTCAGCTACTGCTCACTCAATTTTCAGGTGTCACATAACAAAATCAGTTCTAGGTCTTATCTCTGTAAAACAACCTGACACCTTCATGCTCTAACACATCAATGTGAACTCAATTCTATTGCTGTGTATCACAATTTAAACAATCCTTCAGATCAGACTGCCATGGCCCATACCAACACAGTATTACTTAACAGTTAAACACTTTCCTTCCTCTACCTTGGTGGATTAGAAGGTGCATTTACAGAGGCAAAGTAGTCTTGATTCATCTGGCATCCTCGAATGACCTCTGATACAGTGTTTATGGTCTACAGAAAGGGCAGAAAAAAAAAAAACTGACAGTTAAATGTGAGCCATAATTTACTACCTAGGTCACTCACTCAAAATTATTCAAGGTTACCCTGACAGCTCAGTATCACAGAACACATATTCAGCATATTCACTAAAACCATTTCAAATCAAATCCAAACAACTAACAGCTGCGGAGCATGCTGGGGGAAAGGTCAAGGGACAGAAAGCTCTGACAGATCTGTCACACCCAGTTACCTCCAACTTTATTTGCTACCTCAGACCAGGTTTGCTACGACAGCCAGTTAAAGTAGACATTTTAAAGAAGTTGAAAGATGAAACCTTCTAAAATGTGAAAAGAACTGGAATGGAGGCCACACCAAAGGAACCAGCCTACTCTCAATCATGGAATGGCTAAGGTTGGAAAGAACCTTAAGATCATCTAGTTCCAAATCCCTGCTTGGTCAGGGATGCCTCACACTAGACCATGTCACCCAAGGCTCTGTCCAACCTGGCCTTGAACACTGCCAAGGGATGGATCGTTCACCACTTATTTGGACAACCTGTGCCAGTGCCTCACCACCCTCACAATAAAGAACTTCTCCTTATACCTAACCTGAGCTTCCCCTGTTTCAGTTTAAACCCATCACTTGTCCTGTCGCTACAGTCCCTGATGAAGTCCCTTTCCAGCATCCTTGTAGGCCCCCTTCAGATACTGGAAGGCTGCTATGAGGTCTCCACGCAGCCTTCTCTTCTCCAGCCTGAACAGTCCCAATTTTTGCAGCCTGTCTTTGTATGGGAGATACTCTAAGCATGTCATTTTATCAAGGGAAAAAGCACCTCATTCTACTGCAGGCAGGGCTTCCTAGAAGCTAGAAATGCCTCCTCACTGGGAATGTGCCAAGTCAGAATACTTCTAGACTCTCTCAAGAGAGAAAAACAAAACCGCCACCACCAGAACAGGGCAAAACATTAATCAATACAGCCACTCTGGGATATGCTGAAATCCAACAGAGAAAATTAGCAAATAGCAGTAACATCTGGTTGCAGAATATAATCTAAAGACTATCTTACACTGATGCTGCCCCCTGTGAGAGACCGAATAGAAATCAGACTCCACTGTCCATTGTCTCAAATTCTGGTATGTATGAGAAGCTGAGATGGGATTCCACCTTCCACTATCTCAGAGATGGGTGGGAGAAGTTGAGATAAGACTCCAACATCCATTGCCTGAGAGAAGGCTGTGAGGAATTGAAATGGGACTCCATGGTCCATTGCCTGAGAGATGGGTGGGAGCAGCTGAGATAAACCCATTACCTCCAGGACTGGTGTGAGCAATTGCTGCCCTTTATCCCAAGAATTGCTGCAGTTGGCTGCAAGATCAGCGAACTGGTCTACCAGGAACGTGCAATATGTGAACAGTACTCCCCCAACTCATAATAAAAGGGGGAAAAGATAATCACCAGGTAGGACACCTCTGTGAGAGCACTCTCCATGAGGACAACTCCAAGGACACCTCCATGAGGACACCCACATCCGACTACTACTACAGACTCTTGGGGACACTGCTCTGATACCAACTAGGGACCTTGAAGGACTCCCACCACTGAGGATGACAACTAAAGACCCTGGAACACTGCTGGATCCATGGTATATCTCTGCATCCTGAACTCTTGCTTCATTTATATCTTTTTTCCAATCTGTCCTACTGCTACCCCCTTTTTAATAATTTCCTTTTTTACAACTGTCTTTCTGTAATAAACCAACTGACGGATTATGGTACTTGACCTCATTTTTGTTTTAATTTCACTCTTGGAATCACAAAAAAAAACAGGTCTGACACTCGGGTTTTCTCCAGTCAGACCCTGACACCCACACAGGAAACTGACATATGTGGCATCTGAAACTCTTAGCAAATAGCCTAATTCCAGTTTGTCTCTGCGGCAATCCATTATCCCTGTAGACGACTGCTTTCACCCATTTAGTTGCCCCCCCTCATCACATCAATCTGCTCCCTCTTACTTCTGTCAGGATATCAGCAGGAACTCCTGTTGCCATCAGGATTGTACAGAGCTGCTGTAAGAGCCCACAGTGAAACATTGCTTTCTGACAGCTGCTGGTAGCACCAGGAGGATTTGTGGGAGACACAAGCACCCGCACAAGCTAGAAAAAACGAAGAACATCTTTATGTGAAGAGAGCGTGAGGCCACCTGAAACACCAAACAAAACCGATTCACCCATTTTAAATTTGGCCACGAAACAGAATTGCTCCTCAAAATGAAGATAAGAAATAACAACCAAACACCATGTTCATCTCATTGCTACACTGGGCCATTTGATTTTGAGTTCAGTTAAACCCTCTAAGACCTTCAAATTTCTGACTCCACTGAAAACCTTGCAACTATGTGATGAGAAATCAAGCTCTAACTATCCTCCTACTTGGCTCACCATTTGTCAGAACTACTTTTTGGAAGGTAACAAACTACCTTCATTATTAGCATTCAGCTTCCGCATAAAGTGCCACAGAACAGGAAACCCTTATTCCCATTTTTGGAGGAGTAAGCAGAAGGAACGATGCCCAAAAATCAGTAATTATGAATCCACAGTGAAGGCTCAAACCAGGCTAATGTATTGCAGCCATACATGAACTCATGAATGGGGACTCCTCATATAGAATACCTCCAGTGAGCTACTGAAATCACTGTTAAATCTTCAGTTCCCCAATATGTCAGCCACTCCAAATCCACAACTTGGCACTAGTGTTTGTGCTGAAGGCAGTACATCTCATGAATGTTGATATCTTATTCTATCTACAAACACATGGATCTCATAGTTGGCTATTATGTTATACTTATTCTTCACTGCAGAGCTGAAAGTGCTGAAAACAGTACTTAGGAGATGAAGTGTTTTACCTGCAGCATAAGGTGGAGATTAGTTACTTTCTGTGCAGACCATCCACAGTTGTCATCTCCAACCTCAAACCAAGGCTTCATACGCTGAATGTATGAACCTTCCTTGAAAAAATTCTGATTGGAATTATTATTCTTCAACAAGTTTTGCAATAGAAGGAGACAGTCTTCCACTACTATTCCTGATTGAGACAGAAAACGCAAAGAAATAATTAGAATATTACACACAGAAAACTAACTGGCTTCTCCCCACACTGAGTATGTTCTGGACAGAACAGATCACATGCTTCTGAACTCTTCCATTCTTACCAAACATTAGAATTCGATCAAGAACTGTGAACCATACACATGAAAAAATAACCAAAGGTCACTCTAAATTCAGTAAATCAATGTCAATCCAGCACATTTCCAAAGAAACCGTAACTGTGTTTGTTTCCCAAGTCTGAAGCAAAGCTTCACAACCACTTCATGTCTCAAATTATACCTACTTCAGAGTAAGGCTACACAACTCTCTCTATTCTAAGCACTAAACCTAAGTTCCTCTGGAACTACATCATGATTCAAATGCAGCAATTCTTAGTGGATTAGACATTCATTCTCTTCAATCACTGGCTACATCTTCAACTCATTTCAAAGCTGCTTTCTCGGTTATTTTGGTCGAGAAGCAATTCTTAGAAATAGCCCTTCCAATGAGCCAGTTAAAACTCAACTCCTTGGAGTTCCAACAGGGCTTTTTCCTCTCAGGTTTTAATCTGTGCTGAAAAAGCACTATAGGTGCTTATCAAGTATGTGCTCTGTGAAGAGAAAATCCTCAGACAACTTTGTCCATAAAACAACACTCGTAAAGGCACTGGTACTGCTGGGATGCCTCCAGATCTTAATCAGTGTGAAGCATAAAGACTTACTCCTTGCACTCCTGAACACACACAAGCAGTTCTGGACTTGGGAGTGGGAGAAGAAAGCGAGACCAGTTTAGTTCTCTCACTCACCAGAGCTGCAGATGGGAGAAAGAGACACGTGGTGGGGAGAGCAGAGAACTCTGAGCATTTAAGACTTCACATACCAACTCACCTAAAATTATTAACTGCCTCAAAATAGCAGCTTTGAATCAGAGGCTTGCTTAATTCTTCCATGACAACATACCTGGCATAATTCATCTGGGAGAGAAGCATTAACTGCTCCTGCATCCCACAGAAAAGTCATGGAACAGCAAAATGCCTTGTTACTAACATAGATCCTGTATCAAACTACAACTGGTGATAAACTCATGTGTTGCTAATAAAAAATACCTAAATGCTGCATCATTTTATTCAGTTTTTTAAATACCTTTTCCCCCCAGCTGGTAAATGATTTTGCAAGGGGCTGATCAGGAAATTTAAATTACTAGTGAGGCTGAAGAAACTCACCAAGCTGTTATTTCCAGACACTCCAAGCATCCAAGGATCTCACAAGAGGAATGCAGATGCTTAACTCAGTGACAAATGCAGCACACATGTATCTGACACTGCCATTCCACGTGTACACATTCACAGACCTCAGCCAAACAAGACCACACAAACTCATGCACAAGTGTTCAGAGACATTAACTGATGTCTTAACTATGTATCTCAAGACTAGGTTTCAAAAGATACTCAAACCCTGCCTACTTGTTCAGTCCAATTTTGGTACTACCAGGCTGTATGTTTTGATCCTTCTAGCCACTGACATAGCTACAACCACATACTAATATCAGCCTATAAACATCATCACCCAATGGTTTGTGCACAAGCACATGACTAAGTATTGGATTTTTCTGTACCTCCATCACTGTTTCCTTCTTCTGTTATGATATCCAGAAGTCTCTCAAAGGCATTCTCAAAGGCAACAATCTTCTGTATGGCTGCGTTACTTTTTGTCAACTGCTGTAACAAGAGGACTCCCTTGACAGGTAGGGCAAAGAATAAATTAAACTTAATTTTACTAGAACTATATTGCTTTTCACAAGTCACAGCTCTTAGAAGGAAACTAAATCAGCAACATAATCCTGTCCAGAATCTCTGTACTTCAAAACAGAAGCACAGTACTGTTAAAAAAGACACTAAGCAGCTATAAGAAGAAAGAAGGAATTTGTAAAGCACCTCATCTCTTCTGTAATTATCTGAGCGTTTTGACAGCTAATCAGGAAAGAGGAAGGACTGCAATTAAGCTGACAGAAGGTGAAGAGAAATATTAGCTAACATACTACGAAAACCCTGCACAAGGGTCAGTGTTTGCATTAAATATCCAGTAAGGGTTTGCCTTTGTTATGAGGACTGTAGCCTGACATCCAAAGGCCACACACCTCAGCTGTGGAGTGAAATATTCCCAATTAGCGACCACAATCATTTCTTCACACGTATTTGTTTAACTTAATCCAAATTCTGCACAGGTATATGCAATTCAGGTAACAGTTACTTTTTATGAAGAGAATAAACCACCTTTGTTCTGTACTTACATCATTTCGTATAACCTCCCTAGAGTCTGCTAGTAAATCCATGAGTCTGGAAACACCTGCAAGAAACACATACAGAGCAAGCATAAAGAGGTGCAGCCCCTCTAGCCCTTTGCCATGATATTTGCAGAGCCTCCAGCTTCAAGTATATCAACCACTCACCCATAGGGCTGACAAGAATTATCTGCTGCACTTGAGGTCCTTGCTGCTTTAAAAGAGATGTAAGGAGTTTCACTCCAGGCCAGCGAACATGGAAATCAAATTCCTGCAAAGATGGAGAAGAGGACATCAGGTAATAAACTCCTCAGTATTCATCTTCCTCTTCTAGATCCCCGTTATGAATAGACACCAAACAGGTAAGAAATTTCACCTGCTACTTTCTTTTCCATCCACTATCACAGCACTCAGTCAGCAAGTCAAAACACTATCCTGTTCTTTGTATTTTATCATCAGCAATTTGAACACCCAGCAGCTTCCCTTCCTCCCTCTCCAGAAAGGGTAGCTTTCCAAGCTGTATCTTCTTTCTAAAAACCAGCCAGTCTGATCCTGCAGGGATCAGCCTGTATTAACCAGAAATCCAAGAGAGAAAGAACAGCAAACTCTTCTGCATCTTCTTCCTATTACCAAAAAGTAGCAGCAGCTTCTCTTAAAACTGGGTCTTGTCAGTTCTTGAGCATTCCCTTGCTAATGAATCCATGAACAGACTTGACCAACCACAACAAACCTCTGGGCTCCCCAGGTCATCTCAAACTCATTCAACTGACCTGTTCATTCAGGTCATCTCCAACCCCACATTCACCATGTCTAAGACTACCTCACATTTGACACAGGCTTCACTAGAATGCCGAGAGAAAAGCTTTATCCATTAAGGTCATCTCCTGGTACAGCATGATATGTCTGTCAGTATTCCAAGTATGATATTACTACTCACCTCCACAAGAGTCAGCAAGAGTGTGACATTTTCGTGCTGTTTAATGAATATCTCTGTGAACTGACTCCCCAAATCATCAACTTTTGTTAAGTTTTCTTCTATAACAGTAAAAACAATGTATTACAACACATAATTGGAAGAACTTCAGGTTATTGTAACTTTTGCTCTTAAGAGTAGGGCCACCAGAGACAGAAAGGTCTAGAGTCACTGCTGTAATGTTCATTACTCTCAAAACAAACACTGACACAAACATTACCCAAAAGAGAAAAAAACCATGACTTTCATTGAAAGGTATTTTGTTTTAAAAACAGGAGAGAACCAAACATCTACTAAACAAACTCGTTTCAGTGTCAAAAGAAAAAGAGGTTCTTCCCATTGATCACACTTCACTGCAGAGCCACAGCAAAGGCACTGCTGCTCATTTTTTACATCGGTTGCCCTACAGATCATGCACATGTACATTCATCCCATGCTAGCTAATGGCTATCAGGATCAAGAACAGCTTGAAGCATAAAGCACAGAAAATATATGGTAAAGCCACTAAATTTCTGGCCAAATCTGAAGGTCTGGTTTACTGAAGTGAAGGCAAAACAAGGCTTCTTCCTCCTGATTAAACTGCAGGATTTACAGCCTTACCAAGGAGTCCCTAACAAACCATTAATAACTGAGCAGACATAGAAAGGATCAAAAACCACACATAATCTTCCAAGCGTACCTTGTTAGGGGTATGGCAGAACAGAGAAATCAAAGGACTCTTCTGTAAAAATCTGGTGCTAAGAAAACAATTTTAATTCAAACAACCCAATTCAGACTGTTGTCAATAGTGTTTTGCTGCAAGGTATCACTTTATGGTATCTCATGTTTAAGTACTTCCAGCACAGGTAAGAGATACTTGTTTGGCCTTTCAGACATCATAGAATGGTTTGTCGAGAGTAACTGATCATTGCTCTAACACAATGTGTGTGTGTATATATATATATATATATATGTATACATACATATCTGTATGGTGTCCCTGCCTATGGGAGAGGGGTTGGAACTAGATGATCTTAAGGTCCTTTCCAACCCTAACTATTCTATGACTTTATATTTTGTTCTTGAAACAGGCTTATCAGTAGGTAGCTTACAAGAGGGAGAGAGAAGCAGCACCTATCTGCTGCCTTTTTTTTTTTAGCTGCAGAAACTAGGAAATACTATCAAAAGATGACAAAAGGGAGGACAGGCTGTGTGCAAAACTAGCTCTGGCACAAATCATCTAGCAGAACATGAGTTCCACAGTGATAAATCTGAGGCTGAGGAGCTCATCGAGTCTGGCTCACTCCTGGTTTACAGGAGTAAATGAAAACCTCCGGTAAGCCACTGCCACAGAAGTTTGGCTGCTGCACTTCCTACTACAGATGACGGGACAACTCGGCTGAGAATCATACCCAGACTACAGGCACTGCAGCTTGCTGCAAACCAAGGAAAGCCCATAGACCTGCACTTTTTTTCTTTTAAATGGATGCTCAAGTCAAAACATTTCGCTTGGAATTTCCCCGTGAGCTGTGACTGAATATCTTGTCCTTTACCCAGGCTCTTACCCAAGTCCTTTAATTCAGCTACAAAGTACAAGTGTTTGAGTTATGGATTCCACCTAATCCGAACTCTTGTCCTTGCCCAAGTTTCAGATGCTAAGGCAAAGCCTGAGCAGTACACACAACTCAGCCTCTTACTAGTTTGCTGTAGTTTTTATTTATGCCAAAAGCTTGACTCTAGGTCAGGATATTTAGGATTAACCTAGAAAAGAACCAAATTAAAGTTGTCTTTTTACTTTCCTCTCAATTTTAGCTTTATTTTAATAAGAATTTCTTGTACTGATTTTTTCATTTAAAAAAAGAGACAAGCCAAGCAGAAAGAAACTGGAAAACTGCATCTTCTATTTATGTGGATACACCACAGATCTTGCAACCAGATTTTTCCCCATAATTACTCTTTTCATCTACACATTGACAGGGCTCAAATAAAGAGAACAACTTCTATCTACTAAGATTAGCTCTTAATGATTCACTAAGAAGCAGCACTGTAAACTGGAATTTAATCTTAAAATTAACAGATTACATGCTTTGGGATAAAACCAGTTTACAAAAGGAGAACATACACAGTGTTAGTGGGAACTTAAGGTAGAAGGAAACACTGTATTTTAACATGCACTGCTTAAAAGAGACACTGTGAATGATGTGATATGCAGCTCATGCCTATGCGTCCAACTTCAGGGCTTCTTGAAAACAGAAGCTCTAGTCACAAAACTTTTGCCCATTAAAATCTTACCAGTTGTGAAGCTGCATGCTGTCATGACATCCTAAACAGGAATTTATCAGTATCACAATCTCTGGAGATCAGCTGGCATTCCAACATGCCCAAATCACCCAAGAAATAAAACTGGGTAGACACTTAAGCTCTAAAGGACATGCAAAAGCTTTCACCAAGCTCTAACACAAGTCCTTACAGTGTCCTTTTTAAACAACAGTGTTACAAGTGTGAGCAGCAACCGTGTCTAAAAGTGCCATACTTATATAAGTAAAGGTTCTTTTACCTTCAGAATCATCTGTCAATGCAGATAAAAGAAAAAGAAACAAGAGAAAGGTTTACAAGTTGAATAGCTTTCCAAACAGCACAACCAATAGCAGCATAAGCTCAGATTTTCAAAGTGGTCACCCTAGCTTTGTACAGCAGCAATTACTCCTTCTGGTAGTTCTTATGAAGGTAGCCAAATTAAACCACCTCGTAGCTCTTTCAACACTGGCAATCTCACATACATAACTCAAGTTTGTCAATTCTTTGCTCATTCTAAGAGACTGCTAATAATGTGGATTTTCATGTTCATCTACCCAAAAGCAGAATGGAACAAGCCTTTTTATTTGCTGTTGATGTTTTCCTCTTAAAAACTTGGAAAGCAGGTCTACAGCCATTTGGTTTAGAAACAGTTTCCCAGGCTAGCTGTATAGTGTCTGCTTCTACATCTAACTGTCTTGGGAGGACAGGCATAATCTCTTTCTAAAATGCCACAGTGGGGCTAGAAAAGAAGGTTTTCACCCTTATACATAGCCACCTTATCATAGGCTCCTGAGATCTCTCTCAGTATCACACAGTAGTGTCCCATCTGACAGTTAGTCAGAATTGCCCTTTCCCTATACAAAGAATTGCTTTAATCTTTATTTACAAACTAGAATAAAACCTCAATTCATTATTCCATTCCAACCTAGCTGCTCTTCATAGAACATAGTTTTTTATATTAATAAGCAAGAGATCCAATGCTACTTTAAAGCAAGCTGTGTACAACACGATTTTTAGGACTGTCTTAACAGCTACACAATAACAAAGCAAGTATCAGCATTAGTAAATCACAGGGCATTACCGTTTATGATTTGAACAAAACCACCAAGGGAAGCACCTCCACAGTTAATACATCTATTGCTACCAAGCACTTACCTTGCTCCTCCTCTTCTAGGTCATTCGATATTACATTGTAGAGAGTGTCCAAGGCATAGCCAATTATTTCAGAATCTGAACTGCAAATAAAAGAACCACTTTTCTTTAATGACTTATTTCCAACTACTCTTACAACACAGGTAGTTCCCTTGGCAGTGTGAGATCAAGTGAGAAGGACTGATGTTGACAGACATTTCATAAATACCATGTAACCATAAGCTGTCTGGTCCCTGAATGGAGTCAAACTCCCTTTTCCAGTTCCATTCCCTCAGGTGGCCACATCCGGAAAGTCTGGTGACTTAAGATGACTGCAGAAAGCTTCACTGTCAGCATGTCTTTCATTTCCTGAGTCATTCCTTCCAACCTGCTCCTCAAGTATACCAGGAGAAATGTCTGGGAGGGGTTTAGACCACATCCCAGAAAGCCACCCAAGGGAGCAGCAGACGAGCTTCAGCACCAACCCAGGAAGGACCCTCCCTGCCACCCCATCAGTGGGAACCAGGAGCTGAAAGCTTGTGCTCCACGTGACTGCAGTAAGTTTGGGATTCTCCCAAACAGGCCAGCCTGTGTCACCAACTCGGACTATGTCCAGTTATTAAGGAGTTTTGAACTTCAGGCACCCCCAGGAAGCTGCTGGGCAGCCAGTCTAAGCATTATTATTACACCTGCTTACACCAAGAATTTTTCTTTTAATAAGCCCTGTTTTAAGACAGACCCGTTTCTTCTGCACTATGAAGACCATGCAATTTGTAAACCCTACGTTACAACACAGTTCAAGAATTGAAGGGGGATGTAACTGTTTTCGTTCCTTGCTTTATTGCTCATCAACCAAAAGTGTGAAAGCACAGCTGGCCAAAAAACGAAAGGAGAATAAAACCTAGCATCACAAAGGAAGGCATCTCAGAGTGCAGAACTCTCCTCACAGCTCTTTACATGTCTTGCCCAAGCACCAGAAGAGCACACTGTCAGAACAAGAGCTCTCAGTCAAACTTCTACGTATTTACTTTCACTGAGCTCTAAGGCACTCAAAGCAAGGGCCAAAGATCAGCTTGCATGGTAAGAAGCTCCTAGGCATGTTCAGAGTAAAGGCCTACAAACCAACCTAACCAGCAATCTTAAAAACCAAGCCTTAATTGATGCCAGGTATCTCTGCTAGACCACTAAAGATGACAGACCTAGAGTAGTTGTTGCAACCAAGAAAACTGGAGATGCCTCAAGGTGATCCACCAGCTGTGAGAAGACATGCTGGAGCAACTGATACCTGCACTTCTTGTGCCACTAAAGGAAGGGCTTTAGCAAGCTGTCAAAGTGACATCTAATCCCCCTTTCTATGAGTGACACTAAATCAAAAGCTAGAAATCAGGCATCAGTGTAATCTGTTCTTTGACCTTGGGTTTTGAATTGAATCCTTGTCCTGCTGATGTCCTCCCAGGACACTGGCATTTTTCCTCAATGTGTCACTCAACTCATAACACCTGCTTTTAAGCTGGGCTTTAATGGAAACAAAAGGGGGAAAATTTATCTCCTCTGCCAAACTGTTAGCCAAAGCAGGTAAAGCAAGCTTTTACTCCATGAACACTGTCACATCCAGAAGGTACACTTGGACTTCCAGCCTGCTTACATTTTCCCGTTATTGACATTTTAGTTCTTCAACACAATACCACAACGCCTCTGATTTCTTTTTGATGTCAGTGAAAGAATTTCACATCTGAAAAACACATACAAATTACTTCCTGGAGACTTAAAATGCAAGCTTCAGCCTTGCTTTCTTTTTCCCTTTTTAGGGACATCACAGCAGCTACAAAAGGATACGCAAATTTTACACACACGTGATAAAAGCAGGCCTTGTTTCTCTTGTCACAAGAGGAGCACATCACAGAAGGAGGACAGCAGCATCTTTGCTGTTCACTGCCTTGCTACCATCTGCTGTTCACCACATACAACATTTTTAGTGAATATTCTGTTCAGACTGAAGCTGTGCAGCTTTGGCTCTGTAGTGAAAAGCAGTCAATAAATACACTACCAGCCTCTCACACATCCATAAATGATACAGCCTTTATCCAACACAACAATCCAGCAGAAACCACTTCAGACATCTTGTGTCCTGGTGCTTTCCTGTGGCACTTTGCCAGTTATCAGTGCCACACTCCCTGAGCTCACACACAATAGGAGAGACCTAGGGAAGCAAAGGCACCATGTATTGTCCTGCCCAGGTAGGAGGCTTCCAAGATGCTTTTACCTATTCTCCTAACACTATGGCATTTCACTGTCCCAGTAGAGACAAGCATCATCTATACTGGAAAGACACACATAGAACAGCGGAGTTTTTCTATCATATCATCAATCACAGCATGCCTAGAGAGGAAGGCATTGTATTACCCCTAAAAATTCAAGTCATGCTACAGCTATGAAAGGGGTAGTGACATTTGTATTACCTCTTACACAGGGTGTAATGGGAAGCATATTACAACACAAAATTTGGAATTAATAGCACAAAAATAAATTAGGTGTGTGCCTCGTGAAAACAATTATTTCTCTCAGATTCACATTAGCTTTCAAACTATTAGAACTGTCATAGTGAAATGCAAAACCCTTGTTCCATCAGTAAAAACAAAGCAGTTAAAGATGCAGCAGGCTTCCCACTCTGGTACCTCTCTCACACCAACAGTTATGTGGTACTGGCCTTTTCTGAAGCCAGTGCCCAAATAACCCCTGGCCGGATGTGGCAACATCTAGGCAGCAAGTCAGGAAAAGTCCTCTTGCAGATCACAGTTCATACTTCATATTACAAAATAAACATATAGCCTGTGAACACTGGTGTGTATAAGAGTCTGAAGCATTTAAAGGCTGACTTAGGAGCTTTGTCTGGCTCCAGGATAGTGGATGCTCATAGCTGAAAAACTAGTGCAAGAAGTCTGCCTTCTACAGAACAAGTTCTAAGCATTCAGGCAGGAAAGGGAGCTTAAGACAATTTACAAGTAAACTGTGTGTATACAAGTGGAATTATATGTTAATTTGGAAGTGGTGTATTTCTGTTCCAGGATTCAAAGCAACAGTCTAAAATCTGAGAGAGAAATAAGAACAGGCTACAAGCGGTGCTCACCATTTCAGCACACCCAGGCCTTCTCAGACAGCTTTTTTACTCAAGGATTACATAATAAAAGTTGACATAATTCTCAGAAAAGAGCTGTGCTATCCTACTTGACTCAGAAGGTCTTAAAACCAAATGGCTTTTTGATTAGATACTCATTTCATAATGAGCTGCTTTACATTAGGTAATAATCAACTCTTACCAGCAAAGTTGCTTCTATTTTGCATATTATTAATACATATTCCAGCAAGACAAATGCTGCTGAAGATCAAGCAGTTGTACATCTTGAACTATGCCATTAATCTGGGGTAACTACATAATAGGAAAGCACTTGTTCTATTCTCATGTTACAGTACTTTGTACACCAGCTCTCATTTCCACACACGCACTCAGAACCAAAGAATTCAGAGACCCATGCCTGTTTCTGGCTCCTCCCTGTAATTCTTTCCAACCAAACACCTGCAAAAAAGGCTGGAGACCAGATAAAGGCTCACCTGATACAGCCCAACCAAGCTTTGCTTGTATTCAATCAGGAACTAAGAAGGGAATCCCAGTGCATGAGGTTCACATTCTGGTGCACACAAGACACAGCAACGACAGGCATACATCCCAAACAACAGGCAGACAGGTGTGTAACATCTCAACCACCGTAAGATAACAACCATCAGAAGCTTCATAGCCAAAGAGTCACCTCAGGCGCTCAGTTACCCATCTTCAGGCCAACCTAACATCACTGAAAATACACACTTCCCACCTCCCTAAAGCTAAGCTGCAGAGGAAAACAGGAGTCACTATCTGGACTTCAGCTTTCCATTTTCCTGGTCCCCTCACATGTCTAATCAAATTAAACCTTCTCTAATCTTAAAACAGCAACTATCAGTGTAGAGAACTAGCACACGTGAGTCACTCACATGAATACAGTGACATGTGAGAAGACAACTTGAGTCTGTGATTGAATTCTGTTTTCTCTGGTTGCATTGCTGCTTCTTAGACATAATCTTTAGTAGCTGCAATGCAAAAAGAAAATAAGAGGAGGACAGGAGGAGGAAACAAGCATTTGCCACTTCTACAGAAAGCTTCAGGGCACCCCAGGTGGACACTGAAAGGTGCAAAGATCACACCTGTGGGCATAATGGAACAGCAGGGATGGCACAGCAGTGCTCTCCTCTGTCAGACCTCCATCCTCACAGTTCAGCAAGCCCCTCAGCTGAGCCTGCCACTCATTTACCAACCACTTATTCTGATGAGCTGGCTGTGGCTTGTATTCCTGAAACTAAAAGTCTCCAAAGCCTTACCTCTACAACCACTGACACCAAACAGTGCACCACCTGTAACACATAGCTGAACTCATCAGACTTGTAACCTTCCCTTTCACCAGTCGCATCCTACAAGCCAGACATTCATTTTTAACTGCCCAACCAATGGAAAGGAAGTGACAGAACTCACCTAGACACCAGCCCTACACTTCTTCACATCTGGCATAACTGGCCAGGCAAGGAAGGCCACCACCAGCAGGCTTTGGCTGAGCACAGCAGAACTCCTTCACATACATACCTTAAGAAAAAGCAAGATGCCTCCTTCTAGATAGTGAACTGCTGCTTTCCCAATTTTCCTTTGTCTCAGCACTAGGAAACACCCTCCTATTCCCATGTGCACACATGTAACTATGCCACATATGCCGTTATGGCTGGCCTTCTACGTACACGTTTACCGCCTTCATGTTCAAATGCAGGCTAAAAGACCTTCACACAACACTCACCTACCGAAACACCAGGAACAGGCACTATTTGAACCCTAAATCACCACAAACAAGTTCCAAGATACAACATGTGGTTACCAACAAGTACACCAATGCAGTCAATTGCAGGAAAAGATGGATAGCAAATTTGTGGGGTTTTTTTTCAGACACTGGATTGCATAACACTACACTGTGGTCCACATGAAGGATTTAAACTTGTGTCATCTGGCTTACCAGCAATCAGCTTTTGTATTTACTTGAGTACTTCAAATTAAATGCCTGCATTACTCCCTATGACAGGACTATTCTACCAGTTCACTGGATGACACATGCTTGAGAAAACACACATTTGCTGCCTTCACTCTTCTGCTCTTAATCCTGGCTAGTTCACCTTGTGCCCAGCAGCAGACTTATTCATGTTATGTCAAATCCTGTGTTTAATGAACACTGTCATTTTGAGTTCCCTTTGTCACAGCAGTGGAAAAAGACCACTAAGGAACAGTGAGATACACTAAAAGTATCACCTTTACTCTGGAACTGGTTTTTCAGTCCCTCCTCTGAGTTCCTGGAATTCAGTTCTTTTCACCTCAAAATAGGCTCTAATTACCAAAGCCTCCCTGATGGATGAGTTGTTGGAACCCCAGCTTCATTAGTACAGCCAAGAAAAGCAGTATTTGTGGGTTATGGGCTGGGAAGGGGGGGGGGGGGCTGCCAGCAAAGGCATGCTTACCGGTCTGTCTGGAGAACGTGGATGAGATGTTCCATTGCCTGCGTGCCCACCTCCAACCGGTACTTCTGTTCGAAGAAAAACTGAGTAGTTAGTGGTCTAGCCTAAAACCCAAACGTGGGTTTGAAAAAACTCATCACAACATTACTACAAACCCCCTTAGCTCTTCAGGACACTAGGTGCTCACCTTGGATAAAGATTTAAGAGCACGGACGGCATCCCTTCGGTCATCCAGTAACGTGGAAGAAGCTACACGGTCGCACAGCTTCTGGATCTGGAAAAGCAGCGGGCTCAGGTGAACACAGACAAGGTCCCACTACCACAGCCCGGCTTGTCACCGGCCGGGAGAGCTGCCGAATCCCACACGGATCCACGACGCCCGCTCCCAGCGCAGGCAGCTGTCCCGTCCCGTCCCAAATCGCCGCCGCAAGCAGCCGGGAGAAACCCCGCGGCCGCTGGCTCCCTGCTCGACCCCGATCCTCCCGCCCGGCCAGGCCCCGTCGGACCGCGCGCGCCCCGCTCACCGTCTCGGCACCGGAAGGCTGGGGCCCGGCGCTGGGGCCGCCCATGACGCCCCACAAGAAGCTCATAGCGGCGCGGCTCAACTCAGCCCGCGGAGCCCGGCCCGCTCGCCCCCTTCCCCAGGCCCACCGCTCCCGCACAACCCTCCGCCGCTGCTCCCGTGACGGAAGCAGCCACCGCGCCTGCGCCGAGACGTGGCGGCGACGTGGCCGACCGGCGGGCGGGGCTGGCCAGCCGCTACCACTGGGTACCGCCGGGCCCCTCCCCGTGCTGCCCTGCCAGCCACCGCGGACCAAACCCGCCCCCCCCCCCCGTCATTACTAGCCTTATTAGGCCTTTGAAGTAGAAGAGGAGGAAGCTCAGCCTTCACTCCCCGAGTCACCGCAGCTGGCAGCGCGCTCTGCCGTCACTGCTTGCTTTCTCAGCAGGGGGAAAAATATGCAATAGTGTGACCACCAGGGCACCTCGCTCAAGAGTTCTGTATTTCCTTCAGACCAAACAACAGATCCGCAGGGGCTGGGGGCATGAACCTGTCTCAAAACTACCCCTGTAACCCATCTACCCCCGGCATCTCAGGGTCTGTCTGTCCAGAGCAACCCCAAGACAAACCCTAAGGCTTGGAAATCAGAAACAGTCCTAGAGCAGAGGACTAAGCAGCTATGTTTTTTTTCAGAGGCTGAACTGCTGCAGCACTCACTTTCCCTGCTCAGGAACCACTGCCACGAATCAGCATTCCCAGCACTCCAACTGGCCCAGCAGCCCTCCTCACGGAGACCCACAGGATTTTCAGCTTGGCACAGTTTTCTTACATTCCTTTTTTTTTTTTTTTTTCCCAGTACGTATCAAATTACAGACAATTTTATAGCAACAAGAGCAAAATAAGCCAGAAATTGTGACAGAAAGTCACTCACCTGACTCAGGACTAAAACCATTTGTTCCATTCCAGACAGAAAACCCTTCTCGCATTGTGGGAATTTTATTTTCTCTATTAACTAAACAATGAAATCAATATTTTAAATTAAAATACATAATTGAAAAGTAGTATTTTTCTCTTTCCATGTTCAAAAGCTATTCGTTTCCTCTCTCATATAACAACATAAAAAAAAAATCTCGAAAAAGATGGGCAGTCACAGTACTCATTGCAGAACAGGCTTTTGTCAGACCATTGTTCATTTCTAACTGCATTTCTTGTCACATCAACAACACAGCCCTGAGCACTCCATCCTTCAACAGCTGCAGCAAACCCTTCAACCTAATTACACGAAGATGCAGAGCTATCACATCTCCTCTCTGCAATACCTCAACCCCTGCAAACTCAGCTCTTTGCTACCTTGCTTTCCCCCTTTGAGGAAAGCACCTTTGCTAGGCAGCTGCCTTCTCCCTGGTATGACCTCCCACAACAACCCAGAAGACCCAGAGTTTGAACCCACATCCTCAAAGTACAAAGTGCCACCTGGAGACTGCTGGAATTCTCCCTCTCCCCTGACCCTGGTTTTCCCCACATAGACACCACTTACCACACAGACCAGAAGGGTTCCTACCTCACTGTGCAGCCTTCATTGAGGTTTACTGGCCAAATAACTAGATAGAATCACAGCCAAGTCCTGCTCGGTGAGCACCAGCAGGGGCAAGCCTGCCTCAGTTTGCAGCACACACTGCACACAATGCTGACTTTGTGCCAGCTACTCCGCAGCCCAGAACCTGAAGTGGCCCAGTAAAAGAGACACAGGTTTTTCATTGACGAATAGATCTAATCCAACAAGCCTTGGACACCATGAGGGTTAAGAAACGCTTCCGCTTCCCAGCAGGGAGCGCTGAAGGCACTTGCCTTGCTGGGCAAGTACAGGCACATAACAGAACTCATCGGCAATGCTCAAGTGGGGCATGAGGAGGAAAACCCAAGTTCTTTTCCGGAGTTCTTTACTCCAAAGTACGTCGTATATCCATCCTGACCTGTGCAGCCTCAGGGACAGAAAGTGATTTGCTTCTGAGAAAGACATTTGAGGCACCACAACTGCTAAAGACATTTGAGGTGGGGATGCCAGCGTCTGCTCAAACATGGAGTTTGGAAACATGATACACTCCAAAGTCCAGCTTCTGCCACTATGGAGAGGGATTGTTTGATTTTTGACCAACAACTATTGATTACATCAGGCCTCAGCATAACTCCAAAGACTGCTCTGGTTCAGTGAGGAGCTTTGAAGCTCCTAGTTACACGTGAGGGAAACTCCGCACTATGACACCCGCATTACACCAACACTGACCATCCTTGCTTTTTAGGCGGCTGGAGAACCTGGGTGAACAGAAGCCGCGCTGCGGCAGCGGAAGGAGCCAGAACGCCTGTAACACCCCCCACCGAGCTCGCTGACATCCCCCCTCCAATGATCCCCGCGCCCTGCCCCGCTCTTGTCCGAGGACAGCCGGCCACACAACAGTTTTCCCACAGCAGGAGGAGGATAACAAAGACCCCGGGAGTCCCGTCGCCCCCAGGTGCGCGACAAGACAACGGGCATCCTCCGCTCCTTGCTCCTAACGTCACTACCCACCCCGGCGATACGCCACCGGGCAACAGAAACGCCGCGCGCCCGCAGACATCACCACGCCAGGGCGGCGGGGATTGGAGGAAAGAGCCCTGCGGAGCCCTGCCCCTCACTCTCGCTTCGACGCAGGCGCGCGCGTGCACGCACGCACAAGCACGCGCGCGCGGTACCCCCAGCCGCCCCTCCCCCGCCCGGCAGTGACACCGCCGCGCCCCGCTCGCCCCGTCCTGCCTCCTCCGCGGGACGAGCAGAGGGACAGGGTCGCTGCGTCCGATACCGAGCAGGTCCTGGGGGGAGACACAGGTGCACGGCCCCGCGCACCGAGGCTTTTCTCTTTCCCTTAGGTGAGCGATGTGGAATCGTGGCTAGGCCCCGCCAATTGCGGGAGGAAGTGTGTGTGGGGGGAGAAGGACAGTTTAACGGTCGCGGCTCTGAGGGGAGCGGCGAGCGCGGGGAGGCAGCTCCCCGGGGCCTGGCTTTTGCCCTTCGCTGGCTGCCTTGCCCGGCTTGGCTGCTGGCTCCCGGCCCGGCTCTCCGGCCGGAGAGGCGCTGGGAGTGTGGGGGTGACGGCTGCTTTTGTTCGCCGTCACCTTGGCGGCTCCGTGCTGCCTGTCCGCGGTCGCGGTTCCGTCTCGCTCTCGGGGGGAGGCCGCGGGAGAAGCGGCCCTCGGAAGCCTCTTCAGGCGCGGCCCCCCGAGCCCTGCGTTACTTGGCCGCAAATGCGGCGTTCTGGTCCGCGCTCGCCTCCCCCAGCTTGCATCACGCCTGGCCTTCCAGGGGCCTCTAGAGGTGTCTGCGTTGGGCATGTGCAGGATGCCTTTTCCTCTGTCTCGCCGGCACTGCAGAAGCGACCGTAGCTGCCCACCCTCGGCTCAGCTCGCCCTCCTTTTAGCTCCCGAATCGGTACTGCGGTGGCATCACTGGCTCGGAGATCTCTAGTTCTGCAGACCTCGCCTCTCTCTGCTTCCTCCCCCCTAGTCACAACCTGAGCTTCTCCCTTTTCATAGGTAATACGGCAGAAGTTGCTGCAATCACCTTTTATTATGCAGATCTGGATGTCTTGAGCTTCTCTTGTTTGTTTTCTGAGCTGAGCTCAGCATGTTCTGAGGCTTTTGCTCCCCTTAACCTCAGAGAGCTCAAGTAGAGGTCATTGTAGCTCCATTGTGGGTGCACAGGAGCATCCCCACTATCAAGCTGTTAAATCCTGTGGTTCATTGGGTGGCGTTGGATCCTGAACTTTGTGTCAAGCATCACCACTGGAAGAACCAATGCAGAAGAGTGAGATTGTTTGATTCCAACCAGAATGACTTAGTCATGTAGCTTTTGTTGTGGCCTTCCATGTTGGTTGGCAGTTTCTGGGCCCTACATGTATGTTCTAGACCTTTCAAGCTCAGTGTGCAAGTATTCTGCTTTGCTATAGAAAGATGTGCAAAGATACCAAAGGTATTTTTGAACTGTTGAGAAATAAAGAGTTATTTTGTTCCTTGCTCTGTTCTTGAGCAGGTAGATTACTTATACACAACCTGGATGTTTAATGCCAGCATGTTATTCTTTGGTCTTCGATGGGATGGAGGAGTAAGAGGGGAAAGATATCTTCTCTTGCTAGGCATTTATTTGTTATATAAAGCACTCTGCTGTTTCAGATTTTTATGTGTTTGTTTGTGGGGTTTCCCCTCTCCCCACCCATTTCTCTGACAGACACTTGTAATTAGGGAGTAGTAGCAGAATGAAGATCCGTGATCAACTTACTCTGTTGGCCTGTGCAGCACAGGCTGTGTCCTGCTCAGTGTTGTATGGTTTCCCCTGAAGTAATGTGGAGCTGCTGTGCATGCCCGAGCTCCTGAAGGTAGTGCAGCTGTCTTGTCAAAGCCCTGCCAATGGGTACGGGGCTTACCTATCTGTATTTGGAGCAGAGAAGGTGATTTAGCTTCTGCAGATAACTTACCATGAATGAGGCATTCTGTGTTCATTGTGATTGTAAGTACCTGCGCTAAGAAAGTCTTTTCATTCTTAACAGTTTCTTCTGGTTGTGGACTCTGATAGTTAGGATGTACTGGAACAGTATTGATCTACCATCTGAAATAACTGTTATAATGGCAGATGTGGGCTTTGCCTTGTGGAATGATAATCTGTATCATATGATTATTTTTTTCATTGGTGAAGAAGATATTTTCTGAGGTAGCTAGCTCAAACTGAAGAGACAACAGAATGAGCCAACTGTCCAGTTTACTTGTCTGATGGTTTTCCTGTTGAATAAAAATGTTGTCCTTTCTGGAACTGAGGTTTCAAATTATACATTTATTCTTACACTTAAAGACTGGTTTACATCATGGAAAAGATGCTAAGGGAACACAGTATCTTAACAGTGTTGAATTTGAGCATTCCTTCTTACTGTAACAGTTGTGACACTGGATGTCATCTCTTTTAAGAGTATTTGACAAATTAAGAACTGCATTGCAACTCAAGGAACATGTGAGAAGATTAATATGTCAGACTAATAGGTATATCTCATGAGCTACCAGGAGGAAAGCACTGAGGCTGGCATTGGATGAGAGAGAGAGATGCAGTACCTGTCCCAGCATGTGTGGTGCTGTTGGTGCTGTTACTGCTGTTCGGGTGGTATTAGCTCTTTAGATGGCACAGTTTAACTGCCCGAAAGATGGTCCCCTGAAGTAGTCATGCCCCTAAAATAATATGGAGGGCTCTTGAGCTCCTATCAAGACCAAACAAACAACACACCCTGAAGAACAGCTTGATATGAAATAACTGCATGCTGCTGCCTTGAGGTGTGGTCAGTTCAGATTGTAGCGGATTAGGGAAAGATCTTAAAATTGAGGGATTGTGGTAGGTTTACAGGCTTACTGGCCCTTACTGCAGATGGAGGAAGATGCAAGTGCTTGTCTTGCAGAGCATGAGAGAGAAGGTGGTTTCAGTACTGAGCCGGCTTGTTTGGAACTTTTGATTTCCGTTTCAGTAATTTTTCATTTCAGTCAATGCTTATTTTACTTTACCATGGAGTACCGCAGCCTTTACAGGGCTGGAGTGTCAGTTACCATTTGGACTTCTAGCTTTACTCAAAATGTGGCTGCTCACACCACGTATTGCAGTGGTGGGGTCTCAGAGCCATGCTATGGACCCTGGTAGCAGGCACGGTCTTTAGGGTATTACTTGCTTGTCTGCAGTAGGAATCACAGTTTAAAAGTGATAATCTGATCTAGGAGAAACCCATCTGTGATTGTGAGATCTCCTCTCCCAGTTTGTTTTCCCTCTGTTCCTGTGTTGTGGGAAGTATCACAGTATTCCTTGTGGCTTTTCTTTGTGTGCTGACTGTATGGGGAGCATCCTTCTGATTTGCAAGAGCGTTTTGCCTAATTTTCTGTTCTGTTTGAATTGTATATGCAAATTAATCAGTGACTGGGACATAAGTTGCAGACTTGTGGATTTAAGAACAAGCCACACTGTTGCACATTTGTTTAAAGCTATAGCTCGATATCTGTGTGCCTTCAGTCATGAACAAATTGTTCTATGGAAGAGTTGTTTAAACCAAAAACAGTTGCTTACAGTTTTTTAGTAGACAAATGGTGAGGTCTGGATCTCCCTCCCAAAGCTTAAAAGTTTGTCTTGTTGGAGGTTTCTTCATGTTCAGATGACACCTTCCTAAACTTGAGCTCCTGACAGAATTTGGTTCACTTTTTGGTTATTTATGAAGTAGAATTGATGAAGCATCCAGGCAGTGTCACTGTTGCTGGTCTGTCTTGAAGCAGGATGGAGATGGCTTTGAACTGCCTCTTTTGGCATCAAAGACTTGGTGCTAGTTTGTTCTCTGGATACCAAATTTGAGCATGCATGTGCCATTTTGTGACCTTGCCACAGATGATTAGTCACATTTATATTTTCTGCAGGATAAGGGAAATAATAACAAATCTTGCATATATTCTATGCAAAAAAAAAAAAAAAGCTTCTCTAATGCGAGAGCTGCTGCTTGAACAAGATGCATACCAGTGAACATTGCAACTACTTGGTGTGTAGTGGCCTTCAGTACTTTTTCAGAAGCAATTGCTGTGGCCCCTCTGCATAATCTGATAGGTGGCAGTTTTACCTTGGTTTGTTGTGAGGTTTTTTGTTGTTTGGTTGGGCTTTTTTAAATTGAGTTGAAAAAGTGACAAACACAGTTTAATAAATAATAAGTAAAATACCCTTCCATCTTTTATTCATTTGCTTACCTGTGCATGCCAATAAAAAATTCCTTTCTCTCCTAACTCTCCCATTGTTTTTCTTTTCTGGAAAGATGTGACTGTGGAAATAAATCAAGATTTGAACTTGGTTGTTTGAGTAACAGTTACAGACTTACTCAGTCCCATCTGTGTGCTTTATGTTATGAATTTGAGTCATGCCAATTGAGGTTATCAGAAGCATAGCACTGGTGCTTGTGCATGTTCCCTTAGCAGTAGAGTCTGGTCCTTGGGGTGGGTGCCTTTAGGTCCCTTACCTGTAATCTGGTCCAGAGGAGAGAGTCCATGTTTTGTTTAGTCTTCCAGCTTGCAGGTCTATTACAAAACAGGTGGCGTGGCTGCTGGTTCTTCTTGGTTCAAGAATTCACTTCAAACCCCATATGCCTTCATGGTAGCACAAGAATTAGAATTACTGAATAGGGTGGGAATTGCATCTTGTCAATTAATTGTTAGGTCAGGTGGATGTAGGCAGGATTACCGGTGGATGAGTGGAGTCGCATGGATGCTCATGTTCCCCTGTCTGTGTAGCTTACAGCTTTATCAGTGTGCATGAAGGAATGAGGTTCTTCAGAAGTGCAGTCGCACTAAAGAGAAACTAGCTTATTTATTTGTTTGCTTGCCACCCCAGTTTCAGTGTTTCTGGCTTGTATGTACACGTATGTCTTGAGCAGTAAGTTCTAATTAAGACACTTTCCCAAGGCTGCTCAGGCTGATTTGAGAATGTGGCTCATTTCATTCAAATGAGAAGAGCACTCAGATTCTTTTTAGCTGTTATTCCTGTACTTTTGAGCATATACCAATGAAAATTGGAAAAATGGCTTTTATGGAGTAAAATGGCGTAAATTTCACTGGTTCCTTTATCTCTAAACACCCCTTGGGCTTGCTAAGATTTGGGTCCTTGACTTTAAGGAGGTGCTATACTAACTGGGACACGTGGAGGTTTTAATCTTCCTGAAACCTGGTTTCATGGTACTCATGCTGATAGCAAGGAGTACCCACATTTTTATTTTATTGCCTTTTAATGACTTGGAGACCTGAACAGTTCATTAAGCTTCTGCTACCCGTACTGAGATCTCTGAAGAGATAATGAAAGGAAATAATACTGAGACAGGTGAAGAATTGTACTGAGACATCATCCTGTAAAACACTGATTCTGTGATGTAAATCAATAGAGCTGTCACTTGAAATACGGGCAGAGGTAGATGGTGCTTATCTCTTAGAGCAGCCAACTGCTTGAAACAGCCAACTGCTGTTTCAAGTACTTAGGGAAGAATTGGCTGTGTATGCTTTCCTTTCTCTGATTTTCTGAAAGGTTTCCGAAAGGTTTCAGTGGCCTTTTCTGAAATAGGACAGCTTCCAATGAGGAAAAGATTTAGAGTGATACAGATCCAATGTAGTGTAGTGACTTGTCACAGATTATTGTTTTGTACCCAGAGGCATTTTCAGTGTTTCTTATGGCATGCCAGCAATTTGTTACCATATGTACTTTGCTTATTGCTGGAGTCACAAGAATGTGTACTGGCTATGATCTGCTTTTCAATCGGTTCTTCAAAAACCAAATGTGATGAAGCTCTGTCCTTGTGTCCTTACAAGTGCTTGTTGTGAAGATCCTATCACCAATTTTGTATTGTGCTTGTGGGGCAGGGGAGAAAAAAAAAAAATCTCACCTGGAGAAACAGGTCCTTCTTTTAAGTTTTCTGACTAAAATTCTCACATGCATGCCATGGCTGTAGTATGAGTCATGTTGGGAAGACCCCTGAACTGGTCATCTCTGAGGAATCAAAGTTTTCCTTCCCAGTCTTAAGGAAATGTGAATCCAACCCACACAATTACTGCAGAATATTGACGCTACCATCTTTGTTACAGATGTCACAAGCAGATGTGCTTGAGATAAGAGTGTTACTGGCTGACCCAAGAAGGTGTATTCCTGCTTGTTTTTCAGTGCTCTTGAACTTGGATTTTTAATTGTGCATCAGTTTATTGCCAGAGGCTTAAATAAATGATGCTAGAGATTTTAAACAGGCTTTTTTTGTTGTTGTTTATTTGGGTATTTTAAGTACCTGTTCTGTAAGGGACTTTGTATCCACTGTTCCTTCTTTGTCAAAGAAGGTCCATAAATGGACCAAGAATCTTTTTATTTATTCAAAAGAGGTTGGGGAGCGTGTTCTGAATTTGTGGAGTAGTTCTGTGTGAGTTAAGGTCCTGTTCAGACTATTTCAATTCTAATATCATCTTGCTCATCCTTTTACAGGGAAGTTGTGATATATAGGGCTGTCTCCAAACTAACATGAATATTTTTTAATTGCAGCATTTTACACTGTGTACCAAAGAAATGGTGATGGAGAAGCCAAGTCCCCTGCTCGTAGGGCGGGAGTTCGTGAGACAGTACTACACCCTGCTAAATAAAGCTCCTGACTTCTTGCACAGGTGATACTTTCACTCACAAAGTGACTAATGTTTTTAAACAGAAGTGTACTTTGTACGTGTATTGTTGGTTATAAATCAGGTAAACACTAAATTCTGAGTATGGGAAGAAATCGACTGGGCTAACTTTTGGAAAACCATTCAATTTTACTGAAAACTCCTGAGACTCTACAACCAAGTCTGATCACATGCCATGGTATCAGGGTATTTCCTGTGTGGAAAAGTGAGCTGCTTCTCAGGTGATAAAATGGTAATGTGGATGTATTCCAGAAATACTTCTCTAAATAAGATGGAAAAGAAAAGGAAAATAAAATGGCAGAGGAAGCACGGGCATGAGATAAGCCTGCTCATTATTTCAGGGTACCAAATTGTGCATTGCCTCTGAGAATTTGTTTATCCAGATTGTGATTGGAGATTTAAGTATAAATGTCATGGCCTAGACACGTGGTAGTACAGTAATACAGTAGGCTTTTTTTACCTGTGTCCACTATTTAACTGGTACTCTAATGTATTTCTTAGTTACTTTTTTCTCCCCTCTTTTTTTTTTCTTCCTTCTTTTTCTGGTTTTGATTGGCTGCACACAACTTGTCACTTAAGATTTTGCATTTCTGCATTTGGTCTTAGAGCAGCATGGGTGTAGTGAATAAGGACAAAACTCACTGCTTGGGTTGTCTCAGAACTTGAGCTAAGGTTCATGGTGAAAAATTGGACTGTTTGAGCACGAGGTGGCTTAATTAAGAATTCAGTCTTCGGTCTAATGCCTCTTTTCATCTATAGCCCTGAGGTAGGGAAAAAGAATGGTGTCATTTTTACTTAAATCACTGGACTGCTGTGGAACCATGGAACCATGTTCTTTTCTGTGTTTAAATCTATTTTTAAGGTGTCTGAGAGTGTATTCCATGCTTTCCTAATCTATGTTTAGTAATCTAACAGAAGGTAAAAGCAGGATCTTGAGCAATTGTAGAATTTTTCCCTGCCCCCAAAACTTCCACTAATGAGTCAGATGAGATTAGCATGGACAGAGCATGGACAAGTATTTCCATGTAGCACATCGGTACCGGATACACAAACTGGCAGCTTACTCTGACCCAAGAACTGCGTTCCTTAGGGACATCGCATGCTCTGGGTACTTTGCCTTGGAGTTAGCTTCTGAGGCAGTCCTGAGGCAGGTCTGTCGGTAAGTCACCGTCTTGTTGACATGTGTGACTGTCCACTGCCTGTAAAGCTCAAGCAGCTGAAATTCTTTTAAGAGACATAGAAAGGGTTTGACTGTACCAGATTTTCAAGGCAAGATTTATGATGGGAGTAAATGATGTGCCAGAAATCCTGATACCAGAACATCAGGGTCCGTTTTGAATGATATAAAAGCCCAAGTTAGTAAGATAAGTTTCTTGTGGAGTGTGCTGTCGTTTTGCTCTGAGAAATTGTGTGCATAAGCAGAGAGGCAAAGAAGAGTTGGTATGAGATGATTAGGCCATGCTTCACAGCTTAATACTAAAGGCGAGGGAAAATTATGTCAGTTCTACAGTGAGATTGTGTTTTCCTTCTGTAACGGTTATTTTCAGTTGCAGTTACACTGTATATTATAGTAAATCACCCATGCCTCAAACCCAGTGTTGAAAATAGTCTTTGATTGTGCTCATAGGAGCATTTACCTGCAGTGATAGTAACTGTAAGCTTGGCAGGATTGGGGGGGGGGGGAGAGGGTGATGGTTGATTTGATTTAAGAAGCAAAACACTGTCAGTATGTGTGTTTCCTCCCTAACTGCTTCAGTCAAAGAAGACAAGCTAGCTGACACATGCAGAGGGAACATGGAGCTGGTGTTCCTGGCACATTTGGGATGTGAACTGGTATTTCCAGATAGGGGTGATAGGAGATTGGCAGAAGTGTACATGGGAGGAAAATTGGTGTCTGGGGAGACATTTAGCCTGTTGAAGACAACTTTGGTGCTTTATAGGAGGTACTGGGTATTACTCCCACCCTTTTAAATCTCAAGCTTTACTTCAACAACTCTGAAATGCAGTGTTCCAAATTATGCTCTGTGTGTGGTACATTGAGTGGGAATGGGGAATTGTCCATAGAAGTTGTCTTCTTTCAGGAATTCTGTTTTCATTAAGGGCTCCAAAAATGTTACAGACTTTTTTACAAATTTCTCTTAAACACGTCTGCACAGAAGTGTCCTAGAGGTTCTGATCTGGTTTGATAGAATCAGAGCTGATTCTTGAACTGCTTGTGTGAAATGTCTTCTAGCCAATTTCAGCCTCTGTCACTGCTGTCCCTCTTTAGGGCTGCAACGATAGCTATTTGTTAAGTTAGGGTAGAATACAGAGGACATTTGCCTTTTGGCTCTTTGGCCCCACATTGTTTGAGTTACGTACTCTGAGAGGACATCTAGTCTTCCCTCTTTCTCTTGATGTTAGTCTCTACAGCAGCTTGCTTGCTGCCACAGAAAGATTTGCTTTTTATGGAATTTTAACTCGGTCCCAGCCTAATCCAGAACACATGGCTTCCTGATGCTTGATGGCCCTCCTCCTTGAAGGTTCGGACAGCAAGTGTTCAAGTTACTGGTTTACCTTATTAAAAGCTTGAGAAAGATCATTGGCTATCCATTATTTTTATTTATTTTATGTATTTATTTGTTTATTTCATTTATATTATTATTATAATGGCCTATCCATTATTGGTCATTATCTAAAGCTTATCCAGGGGTTATGGGTAAGCAGAGGTCAGTTTGCTCTCAAATGGGTGTTACGCAGTGTAGTTTGCATGCCTTTTGCACTTTAGGAGAATTTAGATGGCTTTACTGGCTCTTTAACTGAAAATCTATAATTACATATAACTGGAGACTTCATATTTACTCCTTTCCTGATCTGCAGTTCCCACTCATGAGGTTCTCTGTGTACCAAAGAGTTTAAACAGTTTTTAAAAGCAAGTTGAAACTCTTGGTCCCCCTGTGAAAGCAGTTAATAAGCTATGCTGACTGTGAGGGAGCTTGCTTTGGTAATTAGAGACTGAAAAGAGGTTTTCCTGTCTGCTTATGGACTCTTTCAGCTGACTTCTGCTTTTCCTTGCTGTTAGAAAGTGCTGAACCCTGCTCAAAAACATGGTTATGCAGTTGGTATAACAATCTAATATTTCTTGAACTTTTTTCTGGACATAGCCACAGGAGTTAAAATCTGTGGTTGGTATTTTCAGGAAAAGTAGAACTGGAAAGAATGTCTAGGTTTAGTAGGATAAACAAAGAAATGGCAAAAGAGGAAGTGCTAGTGTTTAAGTTTGTATCTTAGTACTTAACAAGTGAAAGGTTGAGGTTAAGTATCTTGGGCAAACTGGAATACTGAATATTAAGCTTGTTTGTTCCTGTTTCCTTGGAGCCTTGGAAGTGGAAAATGCATCTTGGATTCCTGTTTGTGCTAAAACTCCTGATGCATTGAGCTCTATAGCTTTTGTCTAAAATATTTTTTGGATCTTGGTTATATTTTTTCACTGCTATGACCTTTGCATCTCTTCGTTTGCAGGTTTTATGGCAGGAATTCTTCTTATGTCCATGGAGGACTGGATGCCAGTGGGAAACCACAAGAAGCAGTGTATGGTCAAGCTGTGCGTATCAAAATCAGTCCTGTAGTCCTCATCCATGTTCAGAACTTGTATAAATCAGTCTTATTCCTTACCAAATACTTTGACTTTCGTATCTGGTGAATACTGTATTGTGACACTGCCCCCTATGCAGAGGCAGATAGGAATTTGTTGGCTTGAATTTTTTTTTTTTGTTTGATTGTTGCTGCTTTTCCTGTGGGTTGTGTTTGATTCATCAGCTTTGCATGTGGAGTGCAGAAAGTAGGGTAGGAAGCAAAATCAAGAGGACCTGTTAGACTTGTCCTATTGATGCATCTTATTTCAGTTAAGACTTGGGAAGGGGGCTTTGTGAGTTAAATAGAATTCTATATGTTACCAAATTCTTCCTTAAGTGGAGTTTTCTTACAGTAGAAGGTAACTTGAAGAAATGAGGAAGTAAGGAAACACAAGTTTTCACTTTGATTGTAGCTCTTTATCAGAATAATGTTGTCACCTAAAGGCACCTGCTCACATGGTAGCCACACCTTTGAGCAATGTGGCTCTTAGCTCAGGGCACGTTTGGTTTCTTCTCCTTTCACCAGCAGAGCCTGATTTGGCACCACAAAAATCTTGGTGGTACGGATGTTACCCCCTCCTGTGACATTTGGGTGCTTTGTGTATGTGTAGAGAGTTGAGTTTTTTTTGTTTAGAGGGTAGTGTGGGAGCTTTTTTAACCACAGTGTAAATGCTGTCCTCTCACAGGCCCTTTAAAAAAATGAAAGCCTTAAAATAGGTCACATGTTCTAACATGGCTGGAAAAATGGGATAGCAAGTTGTACACTGTTGCGAAGTGCTTGAATCATAGAATGATTTTCATTGGAAAGGACCTTAAGATGATCTAGCTCCAACCTCCTGCCATGGGCAGGGATGCCTCACACTAGACCATGTCACCCAAGGTCCAACCTAGCCTTGAACACTACCAGGGATGGAGCAGTCACTACTTCTTTGAGCAACCTGTGCCAGTGCCTCAACTTCATACTAAAAGTTAGATGAGCTCAGGTATACTGTTCTCAGGAACCAAGACAGTTCTTGGTTCCTATACTTCCCAGTGGGGTACTTTTTTATGTTAGTTCAGACTTGGGTGTTGAAAAGGTCTGAAGTTCTGTACAAAACCAAGTGTGGCTAAACTGTAGCTCTTTATTTCTAGGAGATCCACAAGAAGGTGATGTCATTACAGTTCAGTGAATGCCACACCAAGATTCGTCATGTGGATGCTCATGCTACTCTGAGTGATGGAGTGGTTGTGCAAGTCATGGGAGAGCTGTCGAACAATGGGCAGCCCATGAGGAAGTTCATGCAAACTTTTGTGCTTGCTCCAGAAGTAAGTATTTATAAGATTGTGTTTTCTTTCAAATAGTGATGATGGAAACCTGACCTGTATCTGCAGTTTGTCATAGTGGGGCAAAAAAATATCTCTCTTAGAGCTTGGCCTGAAGGCTATCATTAAATGTGTCACGGTGCAGAGAAACAAGTTTGTTGGATCCATCCTTAGCTTTTTTATTTTCTTAGACTTGAAGTATTGGAGCAGTAATACAAAGCAAATTGGAGCTTGCATCTGGTAACTGCTTTGGCACAGATCAATAAAACATACTGTTCATCTCTGCAGATCAAGTCTCTAGTGTAGTTCTGTACTTTGTTGAAGTCTGTTGGCAAATGTGAGTGTGGGTTGATGCTGCACAAGCTACTGCTGGGATCGAGCTCTTAGTGAGAGCAGAGTAAGGGTAAAAGGTATTTTGTGTTCTTTCTACTCTTTTCCTGCATTGCCTCACAAACTATGGTGTTGTTGATGATTAATATTTCAGTTTTGTTCAATTTCTTTGTTGTTACCCTGTGCAGTGCTATAAGTGTACAGTCACCCGCTGAAGATTCAGTCTGTTTTTGTAATAGGAAAAATTCAAGTTTCTTACTGAAACTGAGGGACTTTAGGTTTATTTAGAATCTGTGATTACTGTGACTAAGAAAAATTGGGAGGTTCTTGCTGCTTGAAACTTCCTCTTTCAATTGGGCAGAAGTTACTGTTCAATTGTAGAGAAGTGGTACTCTTTGGAAAACAGCTTTAGTGAAATAATCCTAGGTCACATTGTTGTTGTGTACCACAGAGAGCTTCTCTCTCTAACCCATCTTTGTTGTTGATGACCAATGTACTGCATATGCAAAAACAAACAAACAAACAAAAAAGTGTGTTGCTCTTTTACAGGGCTCTGTTCCAAACAAGTTCTATGTCCATAATGATATCTTCAGATATGAAGATGAAGTATTTGGGGATTCAGAAGGAGAACTTGACGAAGGTAAGAACTGTGTTTGTAACTCATTCTTGTTCTAGCAGCACTTTCAGAAGTGTCTAGAGGTGGAAAGATGTGAGTTGTGTGTCTTTCTGATGTATGGGAATAATTTGGGAGGTGGAGTATAGTTTGTGGTGCTGAAAATACTTGCTGGTCCAAACATTCTGTGAAAGGAAGGTTGTGCAGTAGTACCTTACTCCTTGAAGGGCTGAACTGGCTCAGGGTGGATGGTGCTTGGCAAAAAATGGAAATAATGAGCAATATTCTGCTGCCACTGGTTTTGTCAGGTAGACTTGATTTATTGAATCAGTATAATTTTTAGATGAAGTAATTTGAAGAAGTCAAATTGGCTTTTCAAATATGACATGTAGTTCACTTTCATATCATCATCACATTCAGTAATTCATTTCCTTTTGGGGGCTGAACTTGACCTGGGTGTATTTTCCCCTCTGTTGATTGGGACAAAGCAAATCTATGTACGTACATGTGTTCACTGGATAATTTCTAGCGTTTTTTATGAGACAGCAAATTCGAGTGTGTATATACATGTGTTCACTGAATAAGTTCTGGGTTTTTTTCATCATGGTTCTGTGGAACAGAGCATCTAGGCACCTGTATTTGAAGTTAATCTTCTTAGTCTGATGTACTGAGATTTTTATGAGCTAATAGTGCAATCTTTCCTGTTTACTGCTACCATAAGAAAAGTATCTGACCCATGAGCATTCCTCCCAGACCTTCCTATCAGCAGTATGTCTCTAGTTTCTCCTTTTTTTGGAAAACAGTAAGAAACAAAGCTTGTTGAACGAGTGGAAGTGTCTTTTAGCTTTCCTTGCAGCTAATTTTGCCTTATTTTTGTTGGTGAAGCTTTATTTTGATCCCTACTACTTTAATATGCTTTTATTTTTAGTGTAGTTTGTGTGAACTTGCAGGCATTTTTAAAGATGTTTTTCTTTTTCTGTCAGAGTCTGAGGAAGAGGTGGAAGAGGAGCAAGAAGAAAGGCAACCATCACCTGAACCTGTGCAAGAGAACACGAGCAGTACTTACTATGAAAACCATGCTGTAACGTAAGAAGTCCATTTCATTGTATGAAGTTGCTTTGTTTAATGAAAACAGTAGAATTGCTTTGGTTTTGGATTCTGGATGTGATTTAATAGGTAGTTTTGGAAACTACTACACTTGATACTGGTCTGTGTTATATTATTTTGAAACATCACTTCTTGAATGGAGAGAGGAAGTGAGGGATGCTCTTATGCTTATTTTCACTTCTCGTTTCAAATGTGAGGTGAAAAGGTAGCAACCCTTAAGTCTTTGTTAATTTGTCACATAAATTTATATCAGTTAGGTTATACAGTGTAATTTATGTGAACAGACAGGTTAATAAAAGAGTAGTTAATTATACCTTCTCAAATTTGGGTACCACTTGGAACTGAGAGGAAGGTCTACTTTTTGAGAAGTAGAAATATGCTTACTACATAACTAGATGATATCTGCTAAGCACATCACTGACAACCCTAAATGCTGTTCACGCAGCGCTTCTGATGAGAAATCTTATGGATTAGGGGTGTCTGCAGAAATTCTGTCAATGACTTGTTCAAGATAATGCAGGAAGTTCTAGATACCTAAAAGCATAAAGTCAAGTCTTGTTTTTGGGTTACTGTGCCGATCAGAATGAAGTCATAAAGACAACGTTCATTAGATAGTCGCCTGTGGCAGGAGCTAATAGGCAGAAGCATGTGAAATTTTCTAAGCTTTTGGAGTGCCTGAAGAGAGGACTGCATAACTTCAGTTCCCTTATATTTCACTCAGAGTAGAGAAGTTCTGTGTGAGTTTCAGTAAACAAGACTCACAACTCCTTTGGCAAGGAACTTTTATGGCAGTTTTGTAAATAACCTGTGTGTTTCGTTCAAAAATTGACTTCATTTATGCATGTAGCTTAATTTTCCATTGATCTCTTACTGTGCTCCTATTCCTTTAGGAGCATTCCTTTATTCCTATTCCTTTCCTGTTGCTTATGGGTTTTACATGTCTGTGTGATTTTCAGATTCTCTGCAGAGAATTGTAAACCATGTCTTTGCTTCATCAGGAGTAAAAACTGGCTTTGTATGCAACTGCATGAGTACAGCTTAACTTCTCATAGTACCGTACATGTAGGTACATATGATAGCAACTGGAAATGGAGTGATCTTTCTGATACCAACCATTACCATATCATAGCTTATAAGAGGTCATAAAGTACAAAGCAAGTGATAAGCTGCATAACATGCACTTGATTATTGTAGCAATGGGATAGAGGAGGCACTAGAAGAATCCTCTCATGAACCTGAGCCAGAATCAGAGTCTGAAATGAAAACTGAGGAGCTGAAAGCTGAAGTAGAAGAAAAGACCCTTGAGGAGCTAGAAGAGAAGTCTCCATCTCCACCTCCTGTAGAACCTGTTTCACTCCCACAAGAGCCACCAAAGGTTAGTTCGAAGTTGTATCTGTGCTTCTAGGTGCAGATGGTAAACCAAAAGATTTGGAATTGACCTTAGCCTTTTTGGGTGGCTAAACCACTGCCTTGTTCAGTGTTATGCTGTATGAACAGCTAGACTTGAACCTTGAACTTTTAAAGATGCCAGCTTTCACTATAAAAGGAAATAATGGTTTTGAGTTCTGCTCAAGTCACCTATTGTAAATTGAATGCTCTGCTTATAAAGTGTATGTGTTGTGGTTTATGCACGTGTAAACCTTTTTAAATGTGAAGTTAATATACGCTAGGAAAACACCTCAAGCTACCATCAAGAAAAGTCGCTTAAAATGGAACCACTGCTCTTCCTTGAAAAAAAAAAAAAAGTAATGCATTGACACTTGCCAAACTGCTGGCAGTATGGTCCACAATCACTATGGGGGCATCAACTGTCTCCTTCAGATACGATGCCTAATCTTAAAAACCACTGTGTGCATCACCTGATACAGTGACACCTATGGTTGTTTGAAAGAGATGGGAGGAACCGGTGAAAGCTGGACAGAGGTCCCTTTGTAGCTCCTATGTTTATTTTTTTCCCAATCCTTTTTCTCCTTTCTGTTTTTACTTTTAAGTTCCGGTGTCCACTTTCTTTCTCTGTGGAGAAGACACTGAACACTGCAGGGTTTTCAGTCCTAGGTTTGTTATATCATGGAAAGCAGTGATCTGGGGATGCTGAGGGAACTGGGCTCGCTCACATATCAATAGTGGGCAAGGTACACACTTGCTCCATGCCACTGGAGTCCACAGACAACTAGAACTTCAAATCCTTCTCTGTTCTTTGTTGTAATGCTTGCACAAAAATTATTTAACAGTCAGATATGAACCAAAAGTGTGATTTCAGCAGACGAGTTTCCCTGTAGGAATGTCAGTGGTTTGCCATGATTAGTAGCCTAGGTTTGTTGCATTTCCTGCAGGCTTTCTCTTGGGCTTCAGTGACCAGTAAAAACCTGCCTCCTAGTGGTACTGTTTCTTCCTCTGGAATTCCACCCCATGTTAAAGCACCAGTCTCACAGGTAACCCATCTGTGAACGCCTTGGATTGTCTCATTACTTCTGCAGACTGCTTCAGTTGTGTAAATTAACAGATCAATTTGTTTGACTTAAATTGCACAAATAAATTGTGTCTTTAATGTTAATGCACTCGCCTTCTTGTCACAAGCAAAGGCACATACACATAACAGGTGTAACTTCGGGTGATAGTGACCTTAAAATCTGTTCGTATGGAGCCAGGAGATTGCTACTGACATTTTTGTGACCTATCTTAGTGGGATATGGTTTTGTTTACAAGGGGAAAACAAAACTAAACAAAAAACTTGCCACAAAATGGCTGTTTTCTAATACGTGCTTGAAAGGGGTATTTCATTGACTGAGGTGCCCCTGCATTAAAAGGGATAGCACCGTTTCTGATAAGGTGCAAGATTGCCTTGTAAGGCTAACGTCTATGGAAATATGCTGGATTTCATTATCCATCCATAATTAACTTGTTACAGAACCCTGTACCAACTTATGACTGTGTGAGGAATGGAAGGATTCACATTTCCTTGCCAGGACAATGCCATCTTCCCATTCCTGGGTTGACTGGGTGAGAAGGGGAAAGAGGAAGGAAAGTTTGACTGGGTTATAGCTCATGTCCTGCACATGCCAAGCCGGTGTGAGACAGTCTTAGACTCTCAATTCAGCTTTCTCTCTGTATATAACACCCCTGAAAATGTGTACTTTAACCTCTTCTATTGATGCTGTGTACCAAAGTACTCATATGTTGTAGTAGCTCATGTCCAGCCTTTTTAAAGGACTGCAGTTTTCAGTAGAGCAGCTAGATTATTGCAGCTGTTGATATTCCATTGGTTTCTTCTCCACTGATTTACTGACAGAGAGGAACCTGCCTAGGATTGCCCTTCAGCCAAACGCATGTTGAAAAAGAAAACACAGAAAAAACAACACCTTGTATGGTGTTGCTTCTGGTCTGAGGGGCTGTCATGGGAATGAGATAATGGCAGTGTATTAAGTTCTGAAGCCTGTCTGTCTTCAGCAGCTTCACCAGGGCTTTGAGCATTTTAGGTAGTATTTGAGCCATAAAAAAATGTGTTTTCTCTAGGACAGAATAGATTTTCCTTATGCAAACCTCAGATTAGTTTTGACTTATTCACTGTAGGGATGGTGGATTTTTGTAATATGATTGCAAAATTTGTTTCATATTGTCTGTACGAAAGAGCAGAATATAGCTTTTAAATTTCCCTTTAACCTCTTTTGCATTGCCTCTGCAGCTAGTGATGCATTCTGCCTTTTAGATTACTTGTGTTGTGACTTTATGAATTAAGTAATTGTGTGGAGAAGTTTCTGAACAATACTGAAATGGCACGAATTTCAACTCACAGCTCTTCTGGAGACAGAATCACTTAGTTCTTGGTTCTTTTTCTTGCACGCTTTTCAGACATGGTACATAGAAAGCAGGTAGAAAAGGCACCAGAACAATTTCTGCCAGGAGTTAGAGATCAGTAGCAGCTTTTTTCTGTTGTCTTGAATCCCTTAATGCCAGATACTTAATGCAGGTAAACAAGGATAGTAGATTGCACCGGTGTGGGGGTGGCTCCTTTGGAATGCTGCTCTAGCATGATCTAGTGATGTTGCAGCTGTAACTCGTGATGCAGCTGTTACCTGTCCTTCTCTGCATCACTCCAGCTTTCCCTCCCATCTTTTAGCAAGTTAAAAATATAGCCTCTATAGTGTTAACTCAGAACCCCTCAAAGGAATGCACACATACTGTTTTGGATATAAACCAGGTCGGTTCCTGTTGATGGAGATCTGTGGAGTTAAACAGGTTAGCATTTCTTGCCATTTTTTTCTTCTTGTTGGTGATGAGAAGTCACCCTGCCTACACTGATAAATCAGGCCTTCTCTTTATAGCGTCTTCAGATCTTCTGACCTGCCATTTGCATGAACACTTCAGCTGTCTAGGGGTGCCATAGGGACAGAGGTAGGCAGCCCCAACTCTGGTCTGCTCTCTCAGAAGTGGTGCATTCAGGAAAAAAAGAGCTATTTATAGCATTCTCTTACCACCTTAGATCTGCTTGGACTCTGGATACACTCTTTCATACCATGTAGAGCTTTTGTGGAAGTGATTGATGAATGGCTTTAGTAAGTTCTGTGATCCACATTTACCTCAGGAACAGTGTGGGGGCTATCTGAGTTACGTATCTGACCTAGCTACTGGAATTATGGCTAGATGATGTGGGGTTTTCTCTTGTGTTTTCATGTGAAGTGTGGTTTCTTGCTGTTTTCTTAGCTAGTTGTTTCTTGGCATGTATTTTGATTGTGGCAGGCATCTCTAAGAGAAGATTTTAAGCCTTGTGAGATTTCAAAAGTGGAATTGTACCAGCCCTTGAAGGCACCTCTTCTCTTTCTGTCCCATTCTCTGTTTCAGGGGGGTATTCAGTTCCAAAGTTGGTGAGTAAAGGCTGACTTGTGGCTGGTTTTGCTGCCGTTGCCAGTAGTATTGCAATAGCAGAAAAAGGTCCTTTTCCCTCCCCATGTGAGCTCCTGAAGAGGAGAGACAATGTCACCTTTTGTTTAATTGTTCCCAAAGCCCTGTTACGCTGATGTTTGTGGCATACTTGGCTCCTTTAGTGTCTGTTGGAATCCTTGTTCTGTGCCTCTCAGTTCGCTTTGTGTGCTCTGTGAAATGAGAGCTGCAATTAGAGAAAAGATCTGTGAGTAAAAGATGGCAGGGGAGCTCCAGTGATCTGTGATGAGGCACAGTGAAAGGGATTTAACAGCAAGGCTGATTTTTCAACCTTATTCTTGGAGTTGAAAAAATGATCCTAGAAATGGTGGAAGGACAAGCTGAGTAGAGCATGAGTGATAGAAGGGCTGAATCGTTTCTTATGTGCATAATACCTGAATGTTTCATGTAAAATACAGTCTTTTTACCCCTGTGAGGTACTCTGGCTGGAACCATCAGTTGTCTTGAGTTCTTAAACAAAAATAAGGGAGAAGTTTAACATCAGCTGCTTCTCCACAGCAGTCTGGGCCTATAGCCATTATCCTTGTGTTTAATCTTCCTTGGAGGCTAGTGTTCTTCTTTGTGCTCCTAAGGATCATTTTATTTTTCTAAGATAAGAACCTAGCACACCAGCAGCTGCTGGACCGCTGTACTGAAAATGGAATTCAAAAAATGTTGGAAATTGCTTTAGTAACCAACGGGCTACACTGTTCTGTCCCTTTTTCTCAAATTATCTTTAAAAGCATTCTTTTGCTTGCAGAAAATGGAATAGGTGTTCTAGTTCCTAGGAACATGAAGGGCGTACTTTGAGCATCATGTCCTTGACATCAGAGAAATGGAGGAATATCCTCCGCAGATAGCCTGAAGAAATTGCTGTTTCAGATGGCTTTATTGTATCAGAAATACTAACTATGCTCTGAGGGCTTTTGGTCTGTTCTCTTTCTTTTTTGGTGTTTTCCTTACAGTTGTTCTGCACTCGAGGAAAAGAACCCCCAGGGACTCAGTCTCACTCAAAATGTCATTTGCCCATCTCTTTGTGTTCATCTCAGACTACCTTCTAATCTATGAAGTTTGAGCTTGGCATGAGGAATATTATTTCATCTGTGTGGGGTTTTTAGTCACGCTCAGGAATTCCTGAATAACAAAATGTTGCAGTCTCAGTGCCTGGTCAAACATGGACAATTCACCTTAGCCATGTTCTGGGCAGCCACTCTGATGAAGAGGTGTTTGTTTTGCACCTTTTAGCAGTGATAACTCAACACTGCAGTCCTGGATTGGTACAGAGGAATTTATAGAGGTGGAAAAAAATGCATTCCCAAACAGATTGACATGGGTGTATATCTTCTGGAGTTAATTTTGTGCATGCCACTTACGTGTCTTGTGTTGGGGGGAGGAGGGAGCTTGTTTTGGTGAGTTTTGGAGGTTTTTATTAAGCTGGTGTTTAATAGTGCCTGTTTTTCTCCTGTTTTAGCCAAGAGTTGAAACTAAACCTGAAGCTCAGTCTCAGCCTCCTCGTGCCCGTGAGCAGCGTCCCAGGGAAAGACCTGGTTTTCCACCCCGAGGACCTCGACCAGGTAATGTAGACCAGCTTCTGTGTCTGCTTGGGACTAGTTACTTGCAAGGAGAGGCATACTAGTTACTTACACGGAGAGGTACCTCCTTGATGGGTCTTGTATATACCTGTGTCGTATTTGACTGATAACAAAATGTCTGTTCCTTCTGCCTTCAACTAGAAATGGGGCGGTATGATTTGGAGTCCTGGCTGGTGATGACCTGTTGCAAAGATCAGACATAATTTCCAATCTTCTGCTTTGTTTTTTGTTAGTCAGGCCATTCACTTCTCTGTTTAAGCATTTTTCATGCAGCTTGGTGTAGTTTTGAAAAGCTGGAATGGAAATCTGATGGTTTTTTCCATGTCCTCTAGTTTTGCTGAACCTTGCAAGTGAGAGCTCTTAAACATCTCCTGTTGTTCTTTGTTTTGGAAGCAGATCTTCCCACTGTGTGAGCCTCAGTCAGTTAGTAATTTTATACATATTTTTCCATCTTTTTTAGTTGTCTAAAATGCCATTCTCAGCTTAGCTGCCTTGTGTTTGCCTTAGTTTGTGAGCAGCCAGCTCTCTGCGTTTTATTACTCATACAGAGTATCCAAATTTGTAGGAGGTTCTGGCTAGAAAACATGCAGGTTCCTTGACAGTCATCGGCAGTGGTGTTGAGAGTTGGAAGCCTTCTGAGTTGTGTTTATTTGTGTAGCCCGGTCGCTCGACAAACTGTGGGCAAAAGCTGTCCAGCCGAAGGCCCATAGTTGCAGGACATTGATGAGTTCATAGTCTTTTCTAAGTATGAAAATCCATCCCGAGTTCTAAGGGAAGGGATGGCATCTGTGATTATCCTGACGTGGCTCTGCCAGCTTGAAGTGCTTAAGTCTCAGTGGCTGTAAGTGTCTCTTCCAGGTCTAGCTAAAACTGATTCTAGTGAAGGTGTTCAGTAAGTGCATACCAAACTGTGGTACAGATTCGGCTTACAAGTGCTTTTGGCTTGAGTCAGTGCCAAGTGTATCTTCACTCAGGGGCAGCACTGAAACTGAAAGGATTAAAGGCACCAGGAAAGAACCGTGGCGTCTGTTACAGATCAATGTTTCATGTTTTCTTAACATGTCATCTGCAGCGGGGAGCACAAGCTGCAACTTCGGACTAAATCGAGTTACAAGTCTGCATTTCTACTACTCTTGGATGTGATACAAGTCATATAGAAAATGTGTCACAGAGCCTGAGCCTTTTAATTCTGGTCCGGGAGTAGCAGAAGCAGGGGAGATAAAGCTGAAATCTCAGGAGACCAAGTGGTAGAACTTCAGTCCTATGACCTTGTTTTCAAAGACATTCGTGGAGCTGTTTTATCTGCTGAAAGAAATGCTGTAAATGGGCCTGTAGAGGAAACTGAGGAGAGAAAGGGGTATATACCTACATTGTACCGCTACAGGTACAAAAGGAGTAACAGTGTTCTGCTCTCACACTGCAAGGCAGGTCATAATTTAGTAGAGAGATACTGGGAAAGGTTTTCTCTTGCATATTAGAAAAAAGACTCATACTTCAGTTGAACTTCAGAGAACATGAGGGACTCTCACTTGTGGTTGGGACAACATGGTGGAAGATGAAAGCCAGAAGAGGTGACTGGCAAATACTGTTTTTAACATGAGTGACAAAGTAAGGAAACTTACTGTGCTGAGGAATTGATGAAGAGGTGACTTAAATCCAGATCTTTTACAAAGTATATTCCAATAGGTAGTGAGCTCCTCTGCAATATAACAATTTAAGATGTAACAAGAACCTCTTACACAAACCAGTGTACCCGGTGTTTTAGTTAACGTGAATTTTATTGAACCTAACCAGGGAAACCAGGTGAAAGGAAACAAATACCTTGTGGTATTATTACAAATTGTGTAAAGAGGAGGATAAGCTCAAGAGCTAAAGGTACAGAATTGTTTGAGCGAACATGTTTGGTGCTGTTCATAGATGTGCTTGTCTGAATCTACGCACATCTTACAACCCTGGTGGCTCTACCTTCTTCTTCTTCCTGTTGACTTTAGGGAGAGGGGACATGGAACAGAACGAGTCGGATAATCGTCGGATCATTCGCTATCCAGACAGCCACCAGCTCTTTGTTGGGAACTTGCCACATGATATCGATGAGAGTGAACTGAAGGAGTTCTTCATGAGTAAGTAGCAATTTCGGCTGCAGAAACTAAGCAGAAAAACTGTGTTGAGAAGCCACGTAATGTTCACTTAGTGCCAGCTGGGGAACTTCTACATGCTGTGACACTGCAGGTGTTGAACAAATGGAGGGGTGGTAGAGCTGGCACTGTGGGTTTTGTTATTGTGACTTTTCCCTTGTGTCTTCCCAGGCTTTGGAAATGTGGTAGAACTTCGCATCAATACTAAAGGAGTGGGAGGAAAACTGCCCAATTTTGGTTTTGTGGTATTTGACGATTCTGAGCCGGTCCAGCGTATTTTAGTTGCAAAAGTAAGTATTGGCATTGAGTAACCTCCAAAGGATGGAGTGAGTGTCCTGAACCCCAAATGGTGTGGGCTGTCCAGTTTGCCTTGCTGTTGTTTGTGGCATTCAGGCAGTTGTAAGACAAATATAGTTTTGGCATAGTCATTCTGTCAGGAGCAGTCTGGAGCTTAGAGTAGCATTCTTCAAACCACATCAGACCTTGCATAGAGACACCATGTGGAGCTCAACACTCTTAGAGATCCTTTTAAGCTGAAAGTTGAGTATGTAACCTTTTGAAGGGCAGCGCATGGAGCTCTGAATTCTGCATCATGGGACTGAGGAAGAGGAGCAGGGTGATTTGTGGTTGTGACTTGAGGAATTGGAGAAGAGAAAGCAGCGGTGTGCATTTCTAGAATGTGGAACCAAGGCTTGGTTGAATAAATCTTCAGGAGCTTTAGCCCTGAGGTGAATAGGCTGAAATGGGCAGTGAAGAGTCTAAAGATGTCCCTGCCCTTACTGGAGGATGACACTTAATTCTTTGCATGTCAAATGAATTTAGAAATGCCATTCCATTTGCTGTAGACCACTGGGGCTAAGGTTGTGTGGTTCAGGGAATAAATTGGTTTGAAGGTAGGCTGAGAACACAGTGTTTTTATATGCCTTGTGTAAGCAGCATCTGTGGAATGGAGGCTAACTAATGGTGTGCCTTGACCACTTTTCCCTATAAGCCTATTATGTTCCGGGGTGAGGTGCGCTTGAACGTAGAAGAGAAAAAAACAAGAGCTGCTCGTGAGCGAGAAACCCGAGGAGGCGACGATCGTAGGGATATTCGGCGCAATGATAGAGGTCCTGGGGGTCCCCGTGGAATAGTGGGTGGTGGCATGATGCGAGACCGTGATGGAAGAGGACCCCCTCCGAGAGGCGGCATGGCGCAGAAGCTCGGTTCTGGACGAGGCACCGGGCAGATGGAAGGCCGCTTCACTGGACAGCGTCGCTGAGCCCTCCACTGCGGGCAGTCTGTCTTGGAAGTGGTACATTATCCATCATGTTTGCATTCTTGTTAATTTTTTTTTTTGGCTTTGGAATGTGACACAGCCCGTCTGGTCATTTCTTCGATGTGAAAGCATCTTTTGGTTTCCAGTTTAAATTGAGGTGGACGTTCTTTCCCCAGTTTCACAACAGGAGTCATGCTGTTAATTTATAAATGTAGACTTGGAGAATTGAGGACTGGAAAAAAAAAAAAAAAAAAAAAAAAGACTGGTTAACTATCTGCAACAAAAGTGAACTAAAGGACATGCCCACTAGAATCCAGGTCCTTTCAGTCCAAAACCCTCTGCTGCACATTTTGTGTAAGTGTTCCTGTTTCTGCCCATTACTGTTGGAAACACAAGTAGTGCAATTTGTGCAATTGGAGAAGCTTGCCTTTTTTCTTTTTTTCTTTTTCTTTTTTTTTTTTGTCTTTCTTAGAACACTTGGCTCCAAACAAACTCATGTTTACACACTCATCCAAATGCACTAATGGGTACTCTGGACTCATTTGTACTGACAGCTGCAGGAGGCATCGGAGGGAAAGACCTTCATCCTCTTCCTCAGACAGAATAGCTTGGGAAACAATGCGGGCATCTGATCTGTTTGCTGTGACCAACATATGTACACACACAAACCTTAATAAGACTATGAGTTTATTCCAGAAGGAATCCATTTAGCTGTAAACTAAGCAGAACCCTGAGTTTCAAAGTCATAGCCCTGAGTACACAGCAGGTTCAATAGCTCATGTCCAATTTTTCTACCTGCCCCTCTTCAGTACCGGGATGGCTGCTCAACACACTCTTTCCCCTCACCCCTTCGATAAGCATTGTACAGTGAAATTTGTCTTGACTGTATTTGAGTTCTCTGGTAATGTAATAAGCATGATGGTGCCTTCTCTGAATACATCATTCCAGTCTTGCTGGTGATTTTGTACAGTATAGTGTATGAATTACTGTGCTGCAAAGCCGATCGGCTGTAAAGCATTTAAAGGAAATTGTGGAAAAATTGTATTAAAAAAAAACCCAATTGCAGTATCTTTCAATCAGTAAACGTTGATGAAATGATCATCCACCTTGCTTGTCACTTTACAAGTTCGCCTGGTTTTTTGCAGAGGGGGGGAAGGGAGGAAGAAGGCATCGAGCAGTGTCCAGGTTGCCTCTTCTCTTAAACAGTTACAAAAAATGGAGTTGACATCTCCCTTGGACACACATCTCAAAAGTCAGTCAGGAATGGTGGATGCTTTTGGCCAGCTCAGAATGGGTAGAACTGAGCCTCTTTGGTAAGGGTGAGCTTATCAAATGAGGGTACTGCAATTTCCCAAGAACCAAACAGCAGCTCTTAAGCATTTGCATTTTCCAGTTGCACTTTCTTAAAAACTCTTAACTCGTTTTGCACATAATTCTCAGATGAAGTTGGCACTCATGTGACTCTGGACCGAAGGCTTGGAAGGAGACACCCTCTCGTGCAGCTGACTGGTGGGTTTCCAGTGCAGAGGTCTGCTTCCAGATGACATTCTGGAGCGCATTCCGAGGGGGGGGTGCAAAAGCGTAAAGCTGCTGCTGCTGGGCATGGAAGACCTCCCTCCCATCAGCCAACTGCCATGTTAAGACAGCACAGCAGCCTGGTTCTGTATTATGCAGTCAGCTGCTGGTTTCACTTAAGTTGGAAGATGTTGCACATATTTCTCTGAGGCATTAGACCAAGTGAAGCAGCATCTGTATTTTCTCCCAGACACAAGGTTTTCTGTGTTCAGTGGTAAGTCTTGCACTATTTTCATACACTTTTTTTCCCCTGGGCGCGTTTCTAACAGTTTCCATGTCCGTATTCCAGTTTTCTGTTGGAAGGTCTCACGTTTTTAGTTGTTACCTGGAGGTCTGTGGTACTTGAACCACTCGCCACGTACCACCTGCCACTCTATAGGTTTGAAGCCCTGGGACAAACTGCTGCACTCACTCAGCAGTTTGCTACTGGTGTCTTTCATGTAGCCGTTGTTTTTTCCCCTTTTGTAGTGCTGTGGTGTTTTGCTGCCACCTCATTCATTTGGATGGTAGTTGGGAATAATCTCGACAACAAAAAATGGAGTATTAAAAAGAGCTACTGAGCCATCATACTTTCTGGCTTGCTCCTTGAGTAAATGACATGGGCAAGTGTTGGAACGTCGTCCAGAGAAGTTTACATGGTGATAGCTCACCTGCTGTACTGTGGACTCTTGGTGTTCTCAACCCTCTTGGTAGTCAGTGTACCTCTTAGAGCAAAGGAAGGGACTCCCTGACCTTTATTGTTAGTTGCTGATTTGTGGATGGTGGGAGTGTTTTGTCATTATGGTTCTATTTCAACCAACCCGGCTGACCATCTTGGCTTTACTCGGCATACAAGACAGTGGATTACCATCTTCATTGCTGTAACATGTCAAGCAGTATATGCTAGTAGATTCTAGTTTAATTGTTGCAGGTGGAAAGTATTTTAAGTTTACATTCTGAATGTGTTTTGACTAAACATACCAATAAACTACTGATGTCTGCAGCATTTATCCATGTCCCTAATTCTATTGAGTATAAGTGGCTTTAGAGCACAGTGCCTCTCTTGCCAGATGGTGCTTTTTTAAGAACCTGGTTGCTGACTTGTCAGATGGTGGTTGTGTCACATCCTGCATTTCAGGTGTTAGCTTGGGCAAGCTGATAAGCTCTGCTTTGCTGTGGCTGCAGGAACTCCTTGCCCTGGGGTGCTGGCTGAGGGAGACGCAGGGGTCAGAACCCTGCCAGTGGTTCGGCTCACAGCAGAGTGCCCGCTCCAGGGAGGAACATGAGCTCCTCTCAAACATGTTCTGGGTAGTATTCCCCCTGGTAGTATTCCTGCCAGTCTGCAGGGACACAGCTTGAACAGATGCTGTAGTGTTGGGAGGAGCATGAGCCAAGCTGCCTTAGGAAATCTACTCCTGGAGTTGCTTGCTCTCCACTTGAGTGTTGCTTACTCTTGGTTCAGTTTACTCCACTGTAATCCCTGGGTTTAGCTCCTTGGGTTTGGGGGCATTGCCAGTGCCAGTGTTTACCCAGAAAGGCTGTTAAAAGGCCTGCTCTTGCACAGCTTGCAGATAAGTTGTGTCTGAGTCATGGGATCTGTGTGGGGCTGTACTGCTCTGGGTAAAGTTCTGGTAGCTGGAGTCTTCTGCTGAGTGCCTGTCTTGGCTGTAACTCTCTGCTAAATGACCATGGGGAGGTGTCTGAGAGGTTGCATAGTTGCATGTTGAAGCACTGAAAGGAAAAACAAGATTCGGTAGGAGAGCCATAAACCCAAGTACTCAGAATTCCCCTGAGGAGCAGCATCAGCAGCTGTGGATCTTCTGATGCCAAAGAGCCCCAAAGAAGCACAATTCCTTCTGTGGTGTCTCCCAAGGGCCTGTGGCATCCAGACCATCATATTAGTTGAGAAGGTGAATTATGAAGGCCCCACAGGCTCAGACTTCCCTGAGGCTGGGAAGGAGGAGGCAGGTAATGGTGTCTGGAATAAGCCAGGGTCTTCCGGGACCTGGCTCAACTTGTGCCATGAAGTCTTGGTGAGCAGAATTGTTCAAGAGCGTATTTTATCAGCACGTGAGCTGGTGTTTGGGCTTTGTGAGTGACGATGCGTAATGATCAGCTTCTGGTGCTGTCTCTGCAGCACGTGCTGCTCCCTCTGACGAGTGCATGTGTCTCTGTGTGTGTGCACCGTGCATGCTTACGAATTGAGAACAGCTTTTGCAGGTGCCAACACAAGGCTCCTCCAGGCAGTCTTATTTCTGTGCTATCTGAAAGGTAGAGCTTCCCATATCCATGAAACCCATGAGTCCCCGTCAGAGGTAAGGTGCAGAAGTTAGACCCAGGGTGAGCAGAACAAGGCATCAGGTACTGATGGGTTTTATAACCTTCACAGCACGTCTGGGCCCTGAGGGCAGCATGCTGGCACCATAGTAGCCCTGGCAGGAGCTGTTGTGTCAGCCCGTGGTTGATGTCACCTGCCAGCAGCAGGCATGGAGCTGCTGTGCTCTGCTGGGAGGGCATGTGAGGGCAGGAGGGGTGTTGGGGCATTGCTTTGGAATACGAAGTAGGGGACTGTTTGGGTGGGAGGGATCCTGTCTCCTCTGGCTCAGCTTATCCCAACCAAGAGGAGACACCAGGGAGTGTTGGATCTCTCCTGCAGCACCATGGGGCCATGGCCGGTAACCTGTGGCTGAGGGCTCCCTGCGAAGTGAGGAGAGACCTGTTGGGTTTTCCCTAATGCACCCCCTCTGCCACCCTGCTCCCTGCACCTGTGTGCACAGGGCCCATAGAATGGAGTATAAGCAGAGCTTTCTATATTGTGGGAAGAGAAACAGCAGAGTGGGGAATGTGTCGGAGGAAGGATGTGGTGTGGGCAGCAGCCTGCACCGCCCGAGGCTGCAGCAGCACCAGGAGCCCAGCCACTGGCCCATGTGAAAAAAGGAAGAAATAAATAAAACCTGTGACTGTAAAACGTGAAGGCTCTGCTTAATGTTCCTCTGTGATAAAACGTGACGCAGAAAGTGGCACCCTTAGCATGGGGGGGAAGGTTGAGGTGCTGCTGTGTGGGGACACCGTGACTGTGTATCACAGCTTGTCTGCAGATGTGGGGTGGCTGAACATCAGCGCTGGGTTCCGACGAAATGAACCCCGCTCTTCCTGCTCCAAGCCGGGCCATTACCGTGCCCGGCGGATGGTGGGGTCTTTCCTCTCCCGGCGTGGCCAGTACCAAACCGGGGTGCTGCTGGGGATGCCGGGCACCCCGGGGCTGCGGGAGGGAACGGGGCAGGGAGGAAGGGTGTGCACGGAACAGTGTAGGGCAGGAGCCAGCAGGGGCGCGGTAAGCAATTGAGTACCGAGTTCTGACAGGCACCGAGCGCCCCAAGGACGGCATGGCAGAGGAAGCGCTCGCGGAGCAGCCACCTGCAGTACCGCATGCGGACCGCGAGGGGGCTCCTGCGTTATGCCGCTGTGCCTCCGCCAGGAGACGCCATCAGTCCAGTGCTACTGCTGCCAATCCCTAGAGCAACCGCAACGGGGGCGCTGCAGTGAGGAGTCCTGTGCAATGGCCGCCAGGGGGCGCGATGTGCTGCAGTGCCGCCGACAGAGGGCGCTATGGCGACGGGCGTGTGGTCGGTGCTCTGCTGTCAACTCCGACAACGACCGCCAGGGGGCGCCGCGCCGCCGAAGTGCTGCGCAATGACCGCCAGAGGGCGCTCCCGCGGCAGCCGTGCGCGTGGCAGCGCGTCCGCCGCGGGAGCAGCGGGGTCCTCGGTGCCCGCGGACCAGAACCGCGCGCTGCGGGGCTCGGCTGCGGCTCCTCGAGGGGCGGAACTGGGAGGCCGAGGGGGTGGGAACGCTCTCCAGCGAGCCCGATGCCAGCGTGGGCCGCTCCTTGCCGGGCTGGCAGCTGCACTCGTGCGGAGCCCAGCGGGCCGTTGTTTCTGCGCTCAGCCTGCGGAGGGGCTTTCGGGCACCGGCTGGGGAGGGACAGGGCCTGTCCGGAGTCGGGCCCTCCGGCGCGTGCGAGCGCTCCCTGCACGGGACGTCTCAGCCTGCGGCTCCCGGAGCAGGGCAACAGGGGTGGTGCTTCCGCAGGCGAGCTGTGACCAACTGCTTTTGCTCCCCTTTTTCAGGTGCAGAGGAGACACTGACGCTGCCTTGCCTGTGCCTGCCCACTGCAAAAGATCTGGTGGGCACCCCTCTCAGTTGATTCGGAGAAAACTCAGGAACAAACTCGCCAACAGAGTTTAAAGAAACAAGCAGGTATTCCTTATTGCGGCGCCAGCAGACAGTGAAGATAGCTCCTCCTAACGTGTGGTTTTGTACTGCTACACAAGCCGTCCTCATATAGTCCCTGGGCATACACACATATTCATGAGGTTACATATGGATTACATCACTTTCCAGAGAGTTCCCCGCATGCGTACAGAATTGTGGTGGTGGTCTCTGAGGGTCGTTTACTTCTTCCAACAATCTTCATCACCTCTGGCAGCCTTCGAAGCACGCGCAGTAGATGCTCATACCAGTTTAATTGCTTCGTTGGCACCA